AGGTAACTGTATTCCACAGTTGTTTTGACTTATTGTAAACAATCATTTTAAAATAAATCATGTTACAAAAGTTTGGCAACACTGAAATTAGACATAATGATTGCTAGATATCTATTAATACACCCTCCACTGAATCATAAACATGATGTAAAAGTCAGACTTTCTTCGCAGATATATGTATTTGTTTATTTGTTCATTTTTAAAACAAAACATCTTCCATACTGCAGCTTTAAGAACCTTGATAACACAATACCAAGATACTTATAATTGTTATTCGATCATACAGTATAGTGTCGTACAGAAATAACAGTTACTGCACCTAATTTACTTGTGTTCCTACAATGAGATAGGTGTCTCCAGACATTTGCGCTATATGTACTTTTCACTCAAGACCCATGCGGTCTACATTTCCTAAAAAAAAAAAAACTTGACAATGGATAGAAATCTTGGCTAGAATTAAAATTGAATTTTATATGTCTAAATTACTGAATACAAAGTTAAATATCTGTAGAATGTGAATGCTTAGAGAAGGGGAGACCTAGGGGTACCGAGGGCTACCCTTAACATAAAAGTAGGCCCATTAGATGAGTAGGTGGTCTGGGGTTGGGGAGGGGGAGGGGGGCATATAGAAAGTGAACTCTGTCCTCCAGCTGTAACACCAGCCACTTCTTTTCTGCTTGAATTAAAGTAGGGTCACCTACAAGCCTGAAGCCATCTAAGGTTTACACACTTTACATTCACAAACTTGGCTCCCCCTATTATGACCACAGACTGAGTGCAATCCCCTAGTCACCGGATAATCGGGTATGTTTTCAGCAAGACCTCTGCAACCTTTCTCAATGGTGGAAAGATTCTTTGCAGTATGTAGATGCCATACTCTTATTGATGTGCAAAGAAGAGCATGTGCTGTTGGGTTATAAACCTGCATTTATTTATTATTATCACTCCCATTTTCCAGAGAGAAAACTAGAGGTGACCAACAATAATGAGAAATATAGGGAGTGGGGAGGTGGACTGACTTTTATTTTTAATAATTTTTTATCATCTCAATATTTTATAGGTTTTAATGGAATTTGAAGATATTACTGTTGTCATTTGTTAATACATGAAAGAAGATGGGACAGCCTTACACAAATATGCTTATTCTGTCTACTTAATAGCTCGCAAATGACTGTCAATCCATTCCTGAATATCAGGACCCTTACCACATAAGAATTGTAAGTTAACTTAAGACCCTTTTCTCAGTCTCAAACTAAATAAAAATCAGTTCTAAAGGTTTTATACAGATTGTGATACTAGTTTTAACATGTTAACATTCGGTCTTTATGGTCTTATTATTTAACCAAAGTCAGCACATACCAGTCTATACATTTCAGGAATTGGATTACCAGGGCTTTTCCTGTTCACTCCCATACCATTCCCTAGCAGAATGGCTCTAATGTTAGAGTGTCTGATATAGTATATAGACTCCCTCTCTAGTTACCAAGCTGTCTCTATGTAACCCTATGCCAGAGGAGGGTGTTAACAGGGAGCTCAGAATCCATTAGGGGCTCAGATTAGCTATAATATCACTATTGATAGGAGAAGTGCCTGCATTAATATTGTTGGCAGAAATTGAGACTTTGTTTCAGTGTAACCGCATATGCCACACTGATGATCTGTTTTGTTTAAAAGTCCCATCACTGTATCTTATCACTGGAAATTGAGCTTAATTGTCATATTTTTGCCCAAATCCTATGATTATATCAAATTGTTGCTACATTTGTTTACCTCTTTCCAATTGTATTCACCACTGATAATTGGAAATCCCTTATAATACTTACTAATGTCCTCACTTGAAAAAAAATCTGCTCTATGCCAATGTCTCACTAGATAAAACTGCATGTTTGCTTTCGATCTTTTGTGCAAACCACAGTTTGTGTGATTGGGCACCCCTTTTATCCCATCTTTCAGCAGTACTTATGTCTCTACAAGTTTTTCATTGCTCATATTTTGTTCTCATTGTGTTTTGGCTGTGGTGATGACACTTGATCGTCTCTGTTCTGCTCCCAAAGGACATCTGGCCTTTAATTGCAGAATTGTTAACAGAGTATGTGCTGAAATATTGACCTATTGCTGGGTCTGCATAATGGTGTTTTTATGGATTGTAAATTAAAAAAAAATGCCTTGGGCCATGGATAATAATTAAGTATTAATGAATATGTGAACATTGACATGGAATGTTGCTGTAAAAGATGTGAATGGTATTTTACCATTATGTGAAGTTATGTAGAATGCCATAGTACTGAAAAATGTTAAGAATAAACATAATTTCATAAGAGTCTTAATGTCCCCGAAACTGAAGTTTCCCCTTTTAATGAAATTTGATTTATTGTTAGTGGACTTAAAATTACATGTTTCATCTGACATGAGCAGAGATGTGTTCAAGTTAACAACAGTATCTAGAGATCCCTAATGTTATGGCTCAGCTGGGCCAGCTGTTAAATCTGCAAAACTGGCAGAGCTTCTTGACCATTATACTCTGGTGAACCTAAGGCTATGGGATAAGCTGGTGATAAGGTAATGTATTGAGGACAAATTGTGTGATATTTTATCCTGTTTATTTTACCAGGGTTACCTATACATGTTGCCTTTTACTTAGTTTGCTGTGCTTTCTTGTATATGCTCCTCTTTTGTTGTCGTAGTAGGATAAGCCGCCGTGGAGACCTCACCAAGAGCCTAGGCATATACTAGCATCCAACTGGAGGCTATCCAGCCAGACAGCCACAAGCTAGCCTGCCACCTGGATCTCCACAGTGGTTTGGCTGATAAAAAGCATCCTGCCTAATTGGTTTCACCACGTTTGGAAGTGCTGACCTATTCCTGTCACGCCTACAGGTGAAAGCTACACGTGCCAAATCTGGCATCGCTGTCACACTCTCAGATTCACCCACAGCTCTGTCTTAAAAACCAAGGCTTAAAAAACATCCATCTCCTTAGCGGCCTAACTATTGGGCAGCATAGCCTCCCAGAGTGCAGCTGCAGCCAGAGTTCACTGGTGGATCGGCAACACAGAGAGTTGTGCCAATCTGAGGGAAGAGGGACAAGGGGTTGCCAGGGCACGAAAGCAGGGGTGGGCTACAAAAGCAAGGTCACACTGGGAGCTGTTGAGGGATTTGGTGTGTTTTGGATAGGTGGGGGTTTTAAGAAAGTTTTTTTCTATCACCTCACTCTGTAGCAGAGCAAAAAGAACTGGCTGGGCAACTGGTAGCCTGATCTACCCTGTTCACCATAAAGCATGGAAGGCTGAAGGAAGCTCATTGTGTGGCCAGGAGGGGGAGATGTTTTCTGAGAAGGTTTGAGTTACCTTAAGGGGGCTTGACATTGTTGAGGAAAGGAAAGAAAATGAGGGCAAAACAACTGCTTGGCGTTGGATGCATCAAGGGGGTTTGGATGAAAATTAAGATATTGGATGACCCAGCCAGGTTCTTGTCCAGGACCTTTTCCAGCATACAGGGTCAGGCTTGGTGAACCTACCAGCAAGCAACTGCAGCATTAGTGCTCTCATCTATGCTTGAGTCCTTTCCCACGGAAGCTGCTCGATGACTCCAAAGGCCCTCGTTGTACCCGCTGACATTATGGTAATTCAGTCAGCCTGATTTCAATCTGCCAGGTTTGGTTGGCAGGTGGTTGATGGGGCTGACAGTTTGCGATTACATTTTATCAGACACTTGACTCCAATGCCCAGACAGTGGAGTTAATGCTTATCACCAAGCTCATAGCCATCTCTTGTTCTTGGTGGGACTGAAACTTTGTAAAGATTTGGTTGTAAAGATGCAGGATTATCTCAGCTGAGTTGACCTATTTCACAACCACAATGTTTCTGTTTGTAGGACAACATGAAGTAGAATGAAGGACAACTAAAAAAAGCAAGACAGAATGATAAACCCTGTTAGTAAGTAATTACAACAGCAGAAGTAGAAGATGGTGAGAAGATAAGGAGAGCAGTCTCCTTTTTGTCCTTACTCACTCTTTCTTCTGTATCTGGTCATCCCAGCACAAGATGATTCAACTGTCCAACAATCAGTCTGGGACCACATTGCACTCTTTGTCAAATTCTCTATATCCTTGTTATGCACTAGATTGGTTAAGAGTATGGTCTGCATTTACACAACAAAGCAACAAGGTGTAAAAGAACCCTCCGCTGGGACCCCCACATTGGTCACAGGGAATCTGGGGTCTGCGTTCGTCCAGTCGGCTTTCACACATCCTGCCCCCCTGTGGTATCTAGTTACATCCACTGTCCTCCTAGAAACAATGCTGAGTCTGACTCAGATCTTGCTCCCATCTCCTTCCCAGACCCTATCACTGTGGATGCACCAATGATTTCCCCCCTTTTTGTTGTTATCTCAGCCCTGCATCTATGGAAATGAGCCCCATTTGGAGATCAACCCAGAGTTGAGTGAGCTGTTGCAAATGAGGCTGTCCTTAATTGGTGCAAGGAGGCCAGTAAGACAGGAGGGGGAGCACTGATTCACTCACTCACATACACACATGGAGTGTCTAAGCGGATTCATGTTAATGTGGTAACCTAAGCTCTTCTCCTTTTTTTTAATCAAATAAAGCAATGTTTTTCTGCCGTGTTTTCTTTTGTAAATAAATGCCCCAAGGGTGGGCTGAAGAACCCCAGGGGAGATGCAGTGGACTGTGCGCTAGGTATGGAGAGGGCTGATATCTAGGGAATTGGAGTTAGATCCAAAGGCCTGACATTCTCTTCAGAAATCCTCTTTGTGCTTACGGCTCTAGTTTCAATATTTCCCTTCAGTTACTTACCAAACGCCACCTTTCACTGGTCCTCAGCTCTGCCCCCTTCTCTCATCAACTCTTTCTTCGCCATTCTGTTCTTGTTCTTTTTTTTATTCTTTCCCTCTTTCGAAAGTCTCAACCCCACTCTCCATCCCCACCCCTCTCTCTTTCCCTCTGACTCTCCTATCCTCCCCCTAACAACCTCCCAAAAAAAAACAAAAAAAAAAAACATCTCAGATTAACTTTAACACTATCCCTGGTGCAAAAGGTAGCGCCTGCCTCTGATGCGTCTCCCTTCAGTAGATCCGTACAGGGAACCCACTCTCTCTCATTCTCTGTCCTCTCATTCTGGGATCACTTTCTCCAGACTTTTGCTCTTTGAAATCAAGCGTACCCTGAAGCACGGATTGGGCCGTGTTTGCCATTCTTGTCTTTGGCGGTTGTCCTGTGGAATTGGACCAACACAGCACTCTGTGTGAGTGGAGGATTTAGGAGGGTTTTTCTGGGCTGTCTCCCCCTCCCTTTTCTGCATCCAAGAGCAGAGCCCCTCCGCTCTTGAGACTGTGTTGATGGTACCCACTTGGATGTGACTTAGAGCCTGATGCACAGGTGACGTGCTGAACTTCCGTCCTATGAAGGCAGGTGAGTGCTGATTTCTGAGTTGGGGTCTTTGAACTGGAATGTTGTGTTTTGTTTTGTTTTCTTATGACAAATTCGCTGTCTTTCACTGCTTGTCAGTTTCTCACCAATGATGTTCAGGTGCTCTCTGCCTCTTTTACACCTCTCTTCTCTCTCTTTGTTTTGATACACAAAATGTAAATGAAAGACTTTACCTGCCAATCGGTAACAAAGAAATTTTGATAACATCTATCATTGTTATTAATGCCAGTCGTCAGACAAGGCAGCTTGTTTGAGATCGGTTTCTGATAGGTTAGCCAAATGAACTCAAGTCTATGTAATGTGATGTGGAGAGCAACGGATTTGCCTTTTGGCATCTCACGGTTCACTTGGGAATCCCATCAAATGCCAGTTTTGTCTGTGCTTTGGTTTCATGACGGAAGATGTTATGCAGGACATTGTCTAAATACATAGGCTCTCTTCAGGAGACTAGATTTCAGTTATGTTGGAAGGTGGATATTTTTTCTCATTTGGCAGTAGGGAGAAATGGTACACTTCCTTTTTTGTAACGCTGCACTTGAGTATTTGTTCCTAACGCAAGCAGATTGAATACAAATTTTAGGTTGTTTCCATGGAAGTCTTACTATTGCTTATTTTGTTAATGAAAAAGTCATTTTTAAATTGTGTTTTTCCTTCATTATTATTATTTTTTATTTAATTCAAAATAATAATTTATTTCAATTATATTATGACTGTTTTTTTTATAAATTATAAAATGAAAAAATAATTAAATAATTAATCTTTACTGCAGGATGGTAAATTTAATTTTCTTCTGGGGCAAAGGTATATCCACTGGAGATCATTAAGATTCCAACTTTGAGTGAACTTTATTTAGACTTATATTAGATGCCATGTCTTGATTAAATTTATTCGTATTAATCTAACAACATCATTCTGGATTTGTCATACTGTAAAAAAAACTTTAACATATGTACAAAATTAACTATTGCAATTTAAGAAAAAAAAACAATTGCATTTCCATGCCTAATACCAACAATTTATATATTTTCATATTAAACTCTCTACATATATGTTGTATACATTTTTTTAATCAAACACTAGACCTTTTGTGGTATTTTGCTTTTGTGTTTACATTAGTATAGGTTTAAGTTTATTTTGAGGCAAGCGGCAAGTTTTCTGTGGAACACCCTTATAGACTGAAATAGACAGGGATAGAATTTGGATGAATCAGTTTTACTTACTATTGTTCACTGTTGTCATTGCCCTTTCTAAAAGACATTTGGTGCTCCTGTTCAAAATATAGGTCTACCTAAATTAAGTTCGGAGTGACAAAGTAGTTCCAGTTGATCGTTTTACCATCAGAATCATTTTAGGTCATTATCATTTCCGTTCCGGATTTGAGAAGATGTCCGTTTATTTTGGCACACTAAGGCTTGGTGAATCTAAAGGGAGTGAAACCCAAACTTCTGCCCCTTAAGGGTTGCCGTAAAGACCTTGGCAACTCAAGCCTGCTAAATTAAACCCATTAGCCTCACTGTTCACAGTCATCTCTCTGATGCCAACAAGTCATAGAACATAAACACTTTGTAATGGACCCTTCAGACGATGGATAGAAGGCAGGTTCTCCCAGCCGCGGGCTTCCTGGCACTGTGGAGGCCTGGAACTGCATCACCATAGCCCACTCACACGATAGTTCTGGAGAATGTGATCCCAACACATTGTTCCCCATCACATAATAGAACCTTTTCAACTGAGGGCGAACAGGCCCACCATGGAGAGGGAGAAAGGGGGAGAATTCCCCCATGGGAGACCTGGGAGACTGCTCTTTAAACCAGGGCTGATTGGAAACAAATGCAACTTGGCCTAGTTGTTAATTATTTAAAATTGGCTCCTTTTATACTAAATTTTTTTTTATGAAAAAGGTCCAAATATTTTCATCTTAAAATAACTGATGTTTGGAAGGCTGGTGCCAATAAAGTACTTTTGATATTTTGTGTTGAATATTTGAATTCACGTTTTTCATATCTTTTTTAAAATTGTATTATTATGTGTCTTGTTGTATTTAAATGTGTGCACTAGAGGCTTCATTAACAAGAACATTTTCTTGTGTATGCAAGAACACTTGCATAAAGCTCTTTCTGATTCTATATGTTTTTCAGGTGTTTAGGATGGTCAGAACAGGCACTTTAGTCTCTCTGCTCCAGCTTTTCAGCACCCTTGCTCCCAGAGGAGGTAAGTGATGTCCTCTCACAACTACATACAAACCCTTTCCTGCTTTCCTAACAGTGATTGATAGATAAAAAGAGCCAAGACACTGAATAAAGAGTTGATTAATTTAGTGAAGATGTGATTAAAAAGAACCAGAGAACCCAAACCTTTTCCAAGTCTTTTTAAATTACTTCTCTACATGACTTAGATCGCCTATGCAAAAAGACACATAAATGAATTTATGCAGTTTAAATCCATTTTCAATCCAGACACCCTGACATGGCCAGCTGATGCTTGCTTCTTTTCATTTCATTCTTAACATTTCCTTTTTCCTCTACATAGCATTTTCTCAGGATACACTCTACCCCTTTGGACCAGCTCACAGGGATTTAGAAACCCCTAAGATGGATGATGGCAGCTCTCCAGAAATTCAACTTCTAATTCCATTCATATTCTTCAATTTGCCCTATAGGTCCCTTTATGTAAGTCTCCAAAATGTGAATAATAACTGTGAGATAAATCACCAAAAATCTCATTGCAACATCATATGTTCAATTCAGTTGTGAATAGGGAGCTTGGTGAAAATATTCTTGGTGTTCTTAGTGATCTATTCATCCATCTACCAGTGTTCCAGTACAATATCTTTTATTCCCCAACAGGTCAACAACAATGGAGTGATCTCCTTCAGCATTCAGGTGAGTCAATTCACTCCAGAGGCTTTCCCCCTCAGTGACAGTCGTTCCTTCATTGCCCCTTTATGGGCTGACGTGCATAATGGTATACGTGGAGATGTGTACTACCGTGAGAGCACAGACCCAGAGATCCTGGAGAGGGCCAATCAGGATGTCAGAAAGTATTTCAAGAATATGGTATCGTTCACTGCCACCTGGGTCTTTATTGCTACCTGGAATCAGGTCACTTTCTACGGAGGCAGCCAAACAACACCGGTGAGGCAAAAAGAGATATATTGAGTTTGTCACTGTTTTATTTGTGTGACCAATTTAAAAAAAAAACTGAGCTACTGAGCAGTACTGTTTCACCACCACATGAACAACTAAAGAGAGTATCATTCTTTTGTGTCTTTTCAGGTAAATACATTTCAGGCAGTTTTAATCTCAGATGGCCAAGCTTATTTTGCTATGTTTAACTATGGAGAGATCAGCTGGAGCACAGGCACGGCTAGTGGAGGAGACCCTCTTACAGGCTTGGGAGGAACCACAGCACAGGTAATCTTGAAAATAACAGCTGTTACAGAGGTTGCTGTATATTATGGACTATTTCATTACATTCTTCTGGTTGTTAGGGTTAGGGTTAGTTAGTTGAAATGTTTTCACCCTCTGCAAACTCACAACATAATCTTGATCTCATGATATTCCTCATTCTCTGCTATGTTTGCTTTCTCTAGGCAGGTTTCAATGGTGGAGATGTCAGCCATTTCTTCAACCTTCCTGGATCACGCTCGAACGAAGTGGTCAACATTGAACAGACCACTAATGTCAATGTGCCCGGACGGTGGTTCTTCCGCATTGATGGCGAACAGATAGACCCAGCAAATGGCTGCAGCTACACTGGTATGACAAAATGCATTTAGTTGTAGTTAGGGAAAGTTATATTTTGTGGTATTTGCAACATTTAATTAATATTTTATTCATAAGATATCTTATATCAGATATGTGCTCTTTTATTTCAACATTTATTTCTTTTAATCACACCATACCCAATCTCCATTTCTGCAAATACATTTTTTTTTTCAGGTCGGTTTTTCCGGCGTGGGGAGGTTTTCTGGCTATCAGACCAATGCACTCAACGATGTAGGTGTCTTGATCTGGATAATGAGGTCATCTGCCAGGAAACTCCATGTGGTCAGCTAGAAACCTGTGAACAAGTGGAGGGGGCTTATTACTGCCAGCCTACCCGTACTAGCACCTGTGTGGTGTTTGGAGACCCCCACTACCACACTTTCGATGGATTTCTGTATCACTTCCAGGTGCAGTATAGGGTTAAAATGATCCCATTTCAATAAAAATGGACCGTAGTTATCAACCTTTTTTAAAGGGAAATTACACCCAAAAACGAAAATTCTGTTATGATTTACTCACCCTGGACCAGACCCTGACAACAATGCAGTTGGCTCGACTGGACTGACCACAACTAGACACAATAACCATTATTTATCAGTATACAAAAGTGCACTTGGCCCATTAAATGTGCACAATGCTTCTGAAATAGTATAGTATGACATTTTATGAACCTAGAAACAAATTAAAAATGATACAAATCACATTTCACTGATAACTGTTATCAGAGTACAAAAGCTGTTTTAAGATTATCATGTCACAAAGCTGAATATAAGGCTGATTTGCTGTTTTGTTTTTGCTTTATAAAGAACTGTAGGATGAAACAATGTGATCTCCTTGATCTCTTATCTAGGGTACTTGCTCATACCTTTTGGCTCGTCCATGCTGGGAAATGCCTGGTTTGCCCTTCTTCAGTGTGGAGGCCAAGAATGAAAACCGTGGTGTGACGACTGTGTCCTGGCTAAGGGATGTGACTGTAGAGGTTTACAACCACCGTGTCACACTACCCAAAGGGACTCTGGGAACTGTGCAGGTTGGCTCTCTTCATGTTTCGGTCCTTTAAATTTGAAGCTACTCCACCTACTAAATTGACCAACTGTACAATCAGTATGAATAACAGCTTCGTAGATTAAATTGTTCTTGCAGGACACAGGCGATGTAACCTTTCTCAGTCTCTTTCACTTTTTGTTTCTGTTGTTACAGGTGGATGGCCTGATAAAGACTCTCCCTGTTCAACTTCAACTAGGTGCAGTCAAGGTATACCAATCTGGTGTTGCTGTCGCTTTGGAAACAGACTTTGGTCTCTTGGTGACCTATGACGGATTGCACTACGCCTCAATCTCCCTCCCCAGCTCTTATTTCAACAACACTTGCGGTCTATGTGGTAACTACAACGATGACCCCGCCGACGACCCCGTGTTGCCAGATGGCTCGCTGGCAGAGAGCGTAGTGGAACTAGGTGGTAGCTGGCGAGCCGAGGACACAGATTTTCGTTGTACAGATGGCTGTGCCCAGAACTGTAGCTTGTGTGAACCGGCAGCGGAAGCATTCTATTTTCGCTCAGACTACTGCGGGCTGATCAATAAAACTGACGGGCCATTCAGAGACTGTAGGGCTGTGGTAGACCCTACAGCATTTGTGTACAGCTGTGTTTATGATATGTGCAGCAATCGTGATAACATCACCACCCTTTGTCAGGCTATACAGGCATATGCACTTGCATGCCAGGCCCTGGGAGTCACTATACGAGCCTGGAGATCACGCACGTTCTGTGGTGAGTTAATTCAACATCTTTAGAGAGATTCAATTAAGTATAGATTATTTCAAGGATTAGTTTACTTCAGAATTAAAAATGTTATTGATAATTTACTCACCCCCACGTCATCCAGCAAGATATTCATGTCTTTCTTTCTTCAGTCGAAAAGGAATTAAGATTTTTGAGGAAAACATTTCAGGATTTTTCTCCATAGTGGACTTCAACGGTTATCAACAGGTTGTAGGTCCAAATTGCTGTTTCAATGCAGCTGAATCTGCTCATCTTGCATGTCCACGACTTCACGCATTACGCAATCATGGTGGAAAGGTCAGGCGATAACCTGACAGGCAGAAAACATGGGGTTAGGTGAAAAACTCCATCTCATTTTCTCCTCCAATTTCAAAATCATTGGATTTCATTGTTTTACATTTTTTTGGGTAACACTTTATAATAACTACACGCTAATAATCATTAGTTAAGCATGAGTAAACCATTAATTCATCATTCATAAAGCATTAATAGACATTAATAAGCAGTTCATAAATACAGCTATAAATGCTTTCTTCTTGATTTAAAAGCATATGTATAATTTGTTTAATAATTGTATTTTCATCCTTTATTAGTGATCAATTTATCATTTCTAAATGAAGAATTGCATTTTTTATGAGCCAGTTATTTAAGAGTTTTCAGTGATTCATACGATTTCTTAGAGCGAGTAAGTAAATTATTAATAAACTATTTTAATGTACATTCATACATCTTATTATTCAGACATATAGTGATGGTTACTTAATGTGTTAATACATGCTTTATTAACATGTATTAATGCTGTAATTAAGGGTTAATTTGGGTAGTTATAAAGCATTTAGTAGTGGTCAGTTAACTATGTTCGTGAGCTCATCTAAAGTGAGGACTAGTCATGCCTTGTAAAGCATTTTTAAAGGCTGTTAAATATTTCTATGTTCTGTATCACTGCGTTGTGTTTGTTACTTTTTACTGTTTAGAAGATTGATAAGTCTTTAAATCTCCTTTATAAATGCTTTACAAAGCATGAATAGTCCTCACTTTAGATTAGCTCACAAAAATAGTTAACTGACCACTACTAAATGCTTTATAACTACCTGTATTTACTATATTTACTTACACTTTCTAAGTGATCTTATGAATGACTGACAACTCTTAAACAACTGGTTTGTAAATAATGCTAAACTTCATTTAGAAATTATTAATTGATCATTAACAAAGTATGAAAATAGAAGCATTAAACGCATTATAGATATGCTTATAAATCAAGAAAAAAGTATGTATAGCTATATTTATAAACTGCATATTAATGTCTAATGCTTTATGAATGATGAATTAACTGTTTACTCATGCTTAGCTAATGATTAATAGCGTGCAGTTATTATAAAGTGTTACCTTTTTTTGTTTGTAAAGGGCGTTTGACTCATTTGCTTTGTAAGGCTAGGTCGGTACTTCCGCCTACGTGACCTTTTAACGTGATTACGTAATGTGTGGTACATCACATCTAATGCAAGAAGAGCATTTGTGGTTAAATGTGTAGAAATATTTAGTTTTGTTTTATAAATGACAGATCATTTCATTAGATAAGACCCTTATTTCTCGGCTGGGATTGTGTAGAACCCTTTGAAGCTGCACTGAAACAGCAATTTGGACCTACAACCTGTTGAAAACCGTTGAAGTCCACTATATGGAGAAAAATCCTGGAATGTTTTCCTGCAAAAATCTTAATTTCTTTTCGACTGAAGAAAGAAAGACACAAATATCTTGGATGACATGGGGGTGAGTAAATTATCAGGAAATTTTTAATTCTGAAGAGAACTAATCCTTTTCTCATGTTCTATCATGAATATGTCCTTTCTATGCTCTTTTTTCCACTGACTTTGCATTTTTCCATTTGCTATTGGTTCTTAGCATTGACCTGTCCTGAGAACAGCCACTACCAAGTCTGCACGAGTGCATGTCCTGCCTCCTGCTCCGACCTGACGTCTTACCTCTACTGTACCCATCCATGCACTGAGGGCTGCCAGTGTAACCAGGGCTATGTGCTGAGTGGTAGCCGCTGTGTACGCCGGTCTGAGTGTGGATGTGAACGTGATGGCCTGTACTATGCCCTAAATGAGACCTTCTGGGCAGGGGAAGGGGGCGAGGTGGGTGAAGAATGCACCCAGCGTTGTGTGTGTGGCCTGGCAGGTGAAGTGACTTGCTTCAATGACTCTTGTGGGGAAGGCGAGGTGTGTGCAGCAGAAGTCGGCCTGTTGGGGTGTTACCCTCGTCGTGAAGCAGTCTGTTTGCTATCTCAGTCTCAAATACTGGCCACGTTTGATGGGTCCACAATGCCATTCCCTGATGAGAGCTCATTCTACCTGGTGAAGACTTTAGGACGCTTGCCTGCAAATGTTACATCAGTGGAGGTGAAGATTGGGAGGAAGTTGGTGAATAAGGGCCCAACATGGCTAAGGCCAGTGGTCGTTAGGGTTGGACATTTGGAAGCACAAATAGGTGGCTCGGATTTCGACTTGATTAAGGTTTGTGGTGTCTTGCATAGTTTATAATCTGAAAAAAAAAAAAAAAACTCAGTTCTCGGGTCTGTGAAATTTAAACTTAGCCTAGAAATCTAGACGCACCCTAGCGGCAGCAAAAATTATTTTGCAGCAAAGTGTGGTCTAGCAATTCTCCATAGACGTTTTAGCTGGAAAACCCCAACTCTGGTAGGGCCAATCCCATCGTGTATAGAGTCGGCGGGCGGGCTTAACAAAATGACGACAGAGTTGCGACGGTCAGAGCCAGCTCGGACATATTCGGTTTTAAGTCGTTCATCCTCGGATGCGGCCGCCGCCGCGCGCGCTGTTACAAAAAAGCTGTGGCGAAACGATCAACTTGTCATATTTGCCACGCTCGTGCTGTGTTGTCGAAGATAAAGGCTTTACTCCGTGTCAGCGCGCGATCGGTGCACGGACCTCTCCCGAATCATCTCCACCACTCCGAAGCACCACTACTCCGGCTCCGTTTCCCTCGTAAGCTGATATTAGTATTTAAACATTCTCTATGATATTATTTTTTTAATGACACACTGTCTCTTTCTCTCTCATACACACACAAACACACACATACTGTCTCTTTCTCTCTCACATATGTAGGCTAATTATAAACTCTTTAGACTTTTAATGATTAGTGTTTTATTTTTAAAGTTTATGGGTCGTGTAAAAAACAAAAAAATCCCTTATTTTGGGGATGGATTCCGGGAAATCTCCCTTATTTTCAATGTTCAATGTTGACAGCTGGACTGGATACGGTAAAAGTTTAATATTAATATATCAACTTGCTACGCTGAGTAAGTCACCTTCTTCGTTGCTCTGATTGGCTGTAGCGCTATCCAATTGCGTGCAGACAGAATTTGAAACACAACCGTTTATCCCGCCCCTCGGATTGAGCCGTGTCAATGAAGAGTTTCCAGACCTAGTATCTTGATGTAGGTCTGGCATGCCAGGCTAATTTAAACTTATTCTGTTAAATAGATACTGACTTCAAAAGAAAGACAAGTAACTATAGCAATATCATTATTTAAACAGTAGATTTGATTGTTCCTCAATATATTCTTACATATTGCTGAGACCAAGTTATCTGATTGTATGGGTTACATGTTGTGTGCTGATGTCGTCATTCCTCTCTTTGCCCAGGTCAATGGTGAACCAGCAATTCTTCCTTATGTTCATCCAGTGGAGCCTCTCATAATATACCGGTCCTCTGGTAATATCACAGTGATTGAGTGGAGCGGTTTAGTCCGCTCCCGATATTCACGTCAAGGCCTGATAAACATCACTCTTTCTACTCTCTTTTACAACACCACCTGTGGTCTCTGTGGTTTCTTCAATGGAGATCCAATTGACGACCTCCGGCTTCCTAGTGGAAGGCAGGCCGATACAGCTGACCAGTTTATTGAAGGCTGGAGAGCCATTGCAGATGATCTGACATGCAATGGCGATTGTGAGGACTTGTATCGGATGTGTACAGATTTAAGGCTGTACCAGAGCCCATGGCTGTGTGGAAACATAAACGACCTGGTAAACAGCTCATTCCTGGCTTGCCACACGGCTGTTAATCCTTCTCCTTTCTTCAGGAACTGCCTCTACAACATGTGTGTACGGGAGGGAAACCGTTCTGCCCTGTGTAACTCCCTCCAGGCATATGCTTCAGCTTGCCAGGATGCTCAGATCAACCTGGGAGCCTGGAGGAGTGCTACCAACTGCCGTAAGAGTGTTAATTGTTTCTCTCTTTTACCATGTCCAACACCTTTTTTTCCTAGTAACATGATTTCCTTCCCTTTCTTTCTTTCATTAGCTCTACCCTGTCCAGAAAACAGTCATTTCGATGAGTGTACATCTGCATGCCCTCTCACTTGCTCTAACCTGGACGATCCAGAGGAGCCGTGCCCTCTAACCTGCTCCGAGGGCTGCCAGTGTGAAGAGGGCTTTGCCCTCCGTGATGGCACCTGTGTGTTACGTAGTGACTGTGGCTGCTTCTACCTGGGTCGCCAGCTGGCCACCAATGAGACATTCTGGACTGACTGGGAATGCCAGGAGCGCTGCTACTGTAATGGCTCAGACAACAGTGTCTACTGCACCTTCTCACCCTGTCACCCAGAGGAGTACTGCCAGGAGAATGAAGGCCTATTTTTCTGCCAGCCAAGGACTGAGGCCATGTGTGTTGTTGCTGGATATGGCCACTTTTTGCCTTTTGGAGGTGTACCTTTTGACCTACAGAGCAGCTGTACTCTTCGTCTGGCCACTACTGAGTGTGGAGAAGGGGATGAGGATGGGTTTGGTGGACTAGACAGTGCAGAGACAGTTCTGGGAGGCCTGCCCATGTTTCAGTTTTCAGTGCGGAATGAAGAGAGAGACACAAGTCAAGCTATATGGGTGCGTGGATTTGTTTTGGAGGTCTATGGATATGAAATTGAGGTATCCCGAAGCTTCAAACACACAGTCATGGTAAGATTGTCCTGGAAAATATGTTGAGATTATCAATAAAGTGTATCTTATGATTTTGTTCTCTTTGTTTTAAACATGGCCATATCTAAGAATAGTAGTTTGTGTCAAACTTGTATGTATTTGAGTGATACAGATAGCATGTTCGCAATGTGTACAGATGTGATCCAAAGCTGATTTGGATAAATACAGAATTCACCTGCACTAGAACAGACAGCCACTAATACAATTTTGGGCCATTTGCTTGAGTGGCAGACATTTCATAATCACAAGAATTCGTCTGTAATTCTAGAACACAATCTTTTGAAGGTCAACCTCCTCATTTTTATGACACAAAGTTATTTTAATGGACCGCAAAGCTAAACCGGGAGTGCCTTTTTTTCACGGGTATAATATTTCAGTCAGAATCTGTTAGCATACTGGAGCAGAGACAGAGGGAAACTGATAACTGAGTGACGTCTGGAATGAGTTCACAACACGTCTGGAATGAGTTCCCATCACCACCGAAAGATCTGAGGAACTTTAGATCAAATAAAGATTGAGGGGAGAAGAAAACCAAGTTAGAGAACGAGAGACAGAGTGAATCATCGAGAAACTGGCTTTTGAACTATGTTAAGAATTGACAGAGGATGAACAAGAGATGGATAACAGCTAGTAGATGATACAGAAAACAATGAATCATGTACCAAAAGGATTTGATAACTATTATTGTTTTTTTTGGTTTTTTTTTTTTTTTAGGTGAATAAAGAGCGCATGTATCTGCCTATAAAACTCGGTCCAGGGAAAGTGAACATCTACACCCTTGGTCTGCAGTTACTTGTGGAGACAGACTTTGGACTGAAGGTAAAGTGCAAACCAAAATAAATATCGCAAACGTCTTTTTACTTGTAAAAGACATAGACAGATGCAAAACCTCTACATTTACATTATCCAATGCGTAAGCTGGTTAATAATATTTCTACAGGTGGCTTTTGATTGGAATACTCTACTGCTCCTCACTCTTCCTCGCAGTCTCTTTAATGCCACCTGTGGGCTCTGCCAAGGAATGCCCATTTCTGGTTCCACTCTAAGTGTCAGCGAATGGGGCATGGCATGGGCAGAACGTGACACCTTCTGCCAAGTGGGTTGCGGGGATTCTTGCCCCCGCTGTGGATTGGTTGAGAGGGACCTGGCTGCTGAGGTCCCCGCCCAAGTAACGGATGTTGTTGGTAACACTGACATGGATAACGGTAGCCCAGGAAACCGTTTTCATCTTGCGGAAGGGTTGTATGTTTATGTCGAACCTGAGGCGGTGAGATTATGTGGACTTATTATAGACCGTGGAGGTGTGTTTGCACGCTGTCACAGCAAAGTGGCACCAGCCTACTTCTATCAGAGCTGTCTGCAGGATACATGTTTGGATCAAGGTGCGAGAGAGACCATCTGCAATTGGCTACAGATTTATGCCAGTACCTGTCAGACACAAGGAGTATCTGTCACTGACTGGAGAAATTCCACACCCTGTGGTAAGAAATATGTCTTGTTGTTCTTGTCACACTATTGCTACGTATGCATTAAATTTAGTGAGTCTTGCTAAGGCAAACATCACTATTATTATAGCTCATATTTGAATTTAGGGGTATGTTAAATGGTCAGACTTTCACCTGATGAATGATTCAAAAACAGACTTAAATTGAAGGAAGGACTAGAGCCATTTGTAGTGACTAGAACACCATAGAGACATGGGGGTGGGCTCCTTGACTTGGAACAGTAAGCATCCACTTAACCAGGCAAAATGCCCCAGCAACTGTAGAGAAACATTCAGAAAATCATTCAGAATGTCTTAGAAATAACATACCATATTATGTGAAAGCGCCATGAATATTTTCTTCAGAAAATGTAAACATTTAGAACTTTAGTAACATTTATGATGCTATGCATTTTATGCAATTATGCATTTAGATGCAAATGTTGTTTGCATTTCTATAGCTAACATGAAAATGCTATTCAGAAACCCCTTAAAGAGGGGGTTGATTGCGATTTAACTTTTTTCATTTTAAATAGTGTGTAATGTTGCTGTTGGTACATGAGCAGTATCTGCAAAGTTGCAGCGCTTGTTTACTTTGCAGGAAGTTTACTGCCTACAAAAACGACTCGATTGGGATTACAGCTGGGTTTTAGCCGTCACTAACCCATACATTTACATCAACCCTCCCTCCGGAAAATGCAAAAAAGGGCATGCGCATATTTCTGCGGCTCGTCGAGTGTGTTGTGTTCACCCAGCTGTCATGTCTTCTGTGTTCGAGCTTCCCGCGGACGCTGTACTTCGTCAGCAATGGATACGATTTATGTTGATTATGTTCCTGAAAATGACGATCGTAATTTAGCTCTCTGTGCTGTGCGTTTTACGGAAGACAGCTTCCAGGCTCTCCACGAATTCAATGCCGGATTCAACAAGAAACTGTTACTAAAACATGAAGCAGTTCCAACTTTAAAACCAGAGGCAGCAGTTGTTGGGCCACAACCTATAAGTATGATAAGACTTAGGGCCCTATCTTGCACCAGGCGCAGATGACTTTATACACAAACGCATGTCTCATTCCTATTTTGCACGCGCGCAAAGCGCGATTTTCCCCTCCACAGACGCACGTCGGTAAACTAGGGAATGAACTTGTGCTCCCTGGGCGGATCGCCGCAAAAAGAAGGCGTGTTTCGGCACAAACATTCCCTGGTGCTATTTTACACTTCCAGTAAACAATTGCGTCACTGACCAGAAAAAACCTAGTCTAAAGTCAGCGCGCATGCTTGGCCATAATGTAGCGGGTACACAACGCGCATACACTGATTCTCTCATCAACACAGATGCAGTAGTTTTTATTTTTCAAATCATACATTATAACAAGGAAAAATATTAACACATGAGGGAAATCACTGTGGTTTACATGAAGATGAAAAAACCGAATTACCCATTTTTTAAGGCTAATTGTAGTACTGGATCAGACCTGTTTGCCCGAAACATACGTATAGGCTATAATGTTTAAACGACGCTGATGTGCAAGAGTTTCTCCCATCCCCATACAACGTCACCTCTCTGTCTTTCACTGTCCTGACAAGATCCCGGTCTCATCGGCTGTGAACGCTCCTGGAGCGCGCCTGGTAAACCCGCCGTTATAATAACAATCCGTCATGAAACATGTGCACCTGTTCTTAAAGGGTATGTTGGATGGCGCTCGGATTGGTTTATTTCACGTTACGCCCAAACCACACCTATGAATAATGAAGCTACTTCAGACCAACCCCTTTTAGATTTGCACCAGCCGCAAGAGGCATTTATCCCGCCGGGAAAATAGCAACAGCGCCGGGACCCGCCCACAAAGTTACTTGCGCCATGCGCTTTGACACTTGCTTTTCAGATCGTTAAAATAGGGCCCTTAATCATTTTAAATGTATTTGCATGTTTAATTCCAGACATAGCCTGTTTTTTTCTACGACAAACACGTACAAACATTATGAACCTGAATTTTGTATAAGTATTAATGTTTTAAATGTATTTTTCATGTATATATGCTTTATGACGTTATTTTCGATTTGATCAAGAACGTAAACTAATGCCAACGCTGTTTGTGTTTAACATTAGTAGCCAGTCAGTTGCTATTGTTGCCAGTCAGATGCTATTGTGTTAAACAAATGTGTATAAAGTAAAAAAATGTAGCAAATTATCATTCAGAAATGTTTAGTAAGAGCCTTGTGTGGTGAGGGTCTGCTTGACTCTCTTCATCGCCGCTTTCTCGGTCTGATTCTGCCTCAAACTGATACTGCAGTTCGACAAGATTATTTACATCTGGACCGGAGCACAGGCACGTTTCGCCCGTAAACAACGTTTACAAAGTGACAACGTGAGCGACAGTTTAGCCAATCACCACACACCAGCCCAAACTAACCAATCTGAGCCCACTGCCTGTTTCTGAGGGAGTGGTTTCATAGACTCAGGAAGTCAACTGGTCTTTCAGGGGACAGAGGAGAGCACGGCTTACAATAAAGGTGAAGTTTATGAAAATAAGACTTTTTAAAAAGAAAAACCACGAATACATATTATATTGCACCCCATAAACAGAATCATGCAAAGAAAAAAAGCAGTAAACCCCCCCTTTAATGCCTGGCGTTATGCTGTCTAACCACAAACCATGGCTTACTTTAAATATGTTCTGTTTGCCAACATAGAAACTAGAGGATATTTTATCACAATCAAGGACCTGTGAATGCCACACATTCATATAAGCCTTTTACAGAGAAATACAATACACCCTCCCCTTTACTTCTCGAGAAACTCACCCGTCCAATGAACTCCTCTTGTTTTGCCCCCTCTGTGTGTGTGCCCAGTGCTGTCGTGCCCTGTGAACAGTCACTATTCCAGCTGTGTGATGGTGTGCCAGCCGCAATGTGCCCCTGCACGTGGACAGAGAGACTGTAACCAGTACTGTGTTGAAGGGTGCCAGTGTGACCAGGGCTATGTCCTTAATGGCAAGAGCTGTATCCTCAGTCAGAACTGTGGATGCTACACGGATGGGAAATACTATGAGGTGAGTCAGCATGTCACAGAATTGGTCAAAGCCAATATAAAGCATGAAGCTGTATGATTCTACTGTATAGAACAAATCAATTTGTTTTGCTTGTCAGACATGAAAGACAAACATCTTATTAAACACATTCATTATGTCCAACAAATTAAACCATCAGATTGATGGGTGATTTTCTGCTAGCTTTTTTCGAAGTAAATGTTGGTGTCTTTCCAAAAAAGGACACCAAATAACCAAATGATATAAGCAGTCCATAAAGTTCACACATTTATGCATACCAAAGCATCCATGAAAAAAAAAAACTGCTGGTTTACTTTATCCAGCTAAAATGAATCGGTTACCTAACGTAACCTCGGTTCTCTCTAGATGAGGGAACGAGTATTGCGTAAGATAGCTTACGCTATGGGAAAGATTAATCTTTTCTGAGATATTGAAGCCAAAAAATTGGGGACCCCAGGGATCCCTATGAGCCCCAGGGGGCATCAGGGCATCCAAATGAAACGAAAAGCTGCTCAGAGCGTCTGAAAGAGGCAGCGTGCGTAGTATACAATCTCAGTGCTCTAACTGGGCAGAGGAGATTGGCGCTGCGTTCGCTATCGGATGCTGGCAGAGCTGATAGGGAAATGACCTGAATGGGGTACCAATCACTTGGGACATAGCTGTGTCTAGGCCTTAAAATGACCTTCGAGTCATTTGATCCGAACTCGAGATATGCAGCGCTGACAGGCAGCGCGTGACGGTCTCCCACACTTTTAACTGATGACAGGGCAGTTAAAAAAACGGTTTTGAGTGAAAGGTATTTCAAATCCACGGAATGAAGCGATTCGAAAGGAAGGGCTTTCATAGCTTTGATATCTATAGAAAGATCCCAGATTAGAACCGATGGGGGGGGGGGACATCCTTCTAGCTACTCTCTGAAGAAGTGGATGACCAGCTCATTTTTACCCAGCGACTGGCCGTGCAGAGGTTCAGTGAACGCTGCGACGGCCGCCACGTAAACTTTGAGCGTGGATGGGGACCTGCCCTTATCAGCTCTTGTAAAAACACGAGCAGTGATGACACCCCGCATGTCCGTGGGTCTAGATTTTTGTCGGTGCACCGTTTAGAAAACACAGACCATTTGGGCGTGTAGACCCTTCTCGTGGAGGGAGCTCTATCTGTATGAGGGAGCTCTATCTGTATGATATTGTTTATCACTCCTTCTGGCAAAAAGACGCGTAGTCGTAGATCACCCATGCATTCAGAGCCCAGTGCTGTGGGTGGGGATGCCAGATCGTGCCGCGAGCTTGAGAGAGGAGATCTGCTCTGACTGGAATGGGCCACGGGGCTGTCTGTGACAGCTGCGTAAGCTCCGGGAACCAAGTCTGGTTCTCCCAGCACGGGGCTATGAGGAGCACCAAGTGGCGTTTTTCCCTGATCCTCTGTATTACCTGTGGCAATAGCGAGACGGGAGGGAAGTCGTAAAGCGGGCAGTTGGGCCAGTCCTGGGCCAGTGCGTCCTTGCTTTTTGAGAAAAATACTGGACAGTGAGTTTTCCTCTGACGCAAAGAGGTCTATCTCTGCTCTGCCGAATATGTGCCATAACTTCTGGATTGTTTGAGCGTGCAGGGAGTGTTCTCCTGGGGTAAACCCAGCTGGAGTACTGCTGCAGCTGAGACCATGTAACCCAACATTCTCTGACAAGTTTTCAGAGGCGTGAGGTTGTTGTTTATCTGAAAAGATGCGGCTAGTCGCTGAATAAGTGAGCCGTCATAGCCACTGAGTCTAGTTCTATTCCAAGGAAGGAAATCGCCTGACTGAGCTGTGGCGATCTCTTGGTCCAATTGACTGCAAGACCCAAGTTGTTCAGATGACTGAGGAGAGCTGTCCTGTGAGACAGAAGCTCTGTGTTTGATTGTACCAAAATCAGCCAATCGTCCAAATAGTTCAGAATTCGCAAGCCCTGACTTCGCAGGGGTGTGAGAGCCGCATCCATGCACTTCGTAGTACAGGGTGCTAAGGACAGGCCGAACAGAAGGACAGTGTATTGATAAACCTGGGCGTTGAAGGCGAATCTAAAGAATGGCTGTGACGGGGAATTGGGTGAATCTGAAAATAGGTATCTTACAGATCGAGAGATATAAACCAGTCCCCCTGGCACACTTGCGCAAGGAGTTTCCTGATTGTCCGCATTTTGAATGGTCTTTTCGTAAGCACTTCGTTCAAAAAACTCTAAGAAGGTTCTGAGGTCACCGTCTTTTTTAGGTAAAGAGCGTAACAGCTTTAAAAACCCAGACTCGCTCAGAGAAGGCGGCACTTTCTATATAGCCCCTTTGCACAGCAGGTTCGCTATTTCTGCACGAAGCAGGTGCGCTACTTCTGTATTCAGAGTAGTTTCATGCCGCGCTCGAAGTGTGGAGGGCGGCGATCGAATTGTAGCGAATAGCTAGGGTTGGGTACCGAAACTCAGTGCCAATAGTGAACCGGTTCTGACGTAAACGGTAGTAACGAGACCGAATTAGAATTAACTTTTCGGTGCCTGATTTCGATGCCTGAGTCTATGGCATGAGGCGCACACACGCAGTCTCTCGCTGTCTCCCTCTAACTCTCCGAAGTGCGCGCACTATACGGTTTATTGAAGCACTGTCTGATCTGTCTTGCACGCGTGCTCTTGCTCGCTCGCTCGCTCTAGATTCCGGGAGATTTGGACTAATTTGCGATCATCCGGGAGTCGTTATCAATATGCGGGAGACTCCCGGAACGTCTGCTGATAGCGAGGAGATTAAACACATGTGAAAAGTACACGTGAAATGTTTGGCTGCATTTCACATGTAAAATTACGCGTCAGAATAACGATTGTCTATTGATACAGAAGAATCACCGACCATTCGCGCCGCGTTGACGCTCACGTCGTCATATTATATTAGCGCCCGCATCATCTGCTCCTCAGAGTTCTCTGCCGAAAAAGGAAGCTTGTCGGCAGCGCGAGATATTTGACAGCGAACGCAGCATCTCGTTCCCTATTCAGAGAACACAGAGACGTTCTCTTTCATGTAGCCTACTCAAAGCTGCATGTAAGACGCAGTGGGAACGAAATATCAAACTGGCTAAGAGCTTAACTAGTCAATGACAAGATAACTTAGCCTACATTACTAGTTAAAGCAGACAAAACATTGAAACCTGCCATGTCGATATTATATTACCCTGGTAGTAATCTCTATTAATCTTCAGTATAATTACATTGTTTAATATAATATTGTTTTATTGATATTATGTAAATATGAACTTTTATTTTATATTGGTTTATTTATTATTACCATATGTTACTTGTATTTATATTGTAAGTTAATATTGTGTCCAGTTTGGCCCTGTAAATAAAGGGGTATTATTATTTTTTTTGACAAAGTGTGTGCGGTTTCGTTTTCTTAAGTACCGTTTCAAGAACCGTTTAGGGACCGGAACCGTTTAAAAAATACAGAGTAGGTACTGGTATCGGATAAAACCCAACCGATACCCAACCCTACGAATAGCCTTGTCTTAACACCCATTTTGATACCCCTGGGAAAGCTTCCCATGCTTTTAAATATGCACCTAGGGGTTGAAAGGCCTCCACGTTCTGATTGCCACACTGTATGGGCTTTACAGGCTGCGTCGGTGGTGTGTGCGTGGCGCACGTGCTCACAGTGTTTGAACACAGTGGCTCGCAGACAGCAGTGACAAACTGTTTTGTAAGTGACGACCCGATTGCAGTGAATGGGGAGCATGCTATGTCTGCATGTTTGTTTGGTTGTGAGCCAGACATTATGCCCTTTGCATTTATAGCCTGATACGAGGCTGCACTTGTGGCGCGCACGGCGCCGCGTGCAAAGTGCGTGTTAGAAAACGTGAGCACTGCAAGCGGGCACGATACTGTTTATAGTCTGAAAGAGGCTGCACTTGTGATGCACGCGACTTGGCCGTGTAATGGAGCAGGCAGATGGCGTGGGCACATCTGCTACAGATAACACCCTAGCGGCATAGCCAGCTTAAGAGAGTGGGCTCTGTGAGACACGGCAATGCAGTGTTTTTGTAGGGGTGAGCACAGGGGTGTGAGCACCAATTACACTTGAAACAGAACATCAAGCTTTGTGTGTTGGCGTTTGTTTGCAGGTGTGCATGTTATGACAGGCTCGTTTCTGCAATATTGACATTTCCGGCCACGCAAACGAGGAGTTGAGAAACGTTTGAGAGATGGGTGCTTGGCCGGCCTCGGCGGGCTAAAAAACACACTTGTTCCCCATGTCGCCGTTAACGCATGTGCGCGGGAGGAGGTGGCCACTTTCTGCACGTAAGAATGCTGGCCGCGAGCTCAGAGCTGCATAAAATTATCCGTAAGAGCCGGAATCACACACGGGTCTCTGGCACGAAAAGCTTTGAGTTTCACCACTGATCCACAGAGGTAAAGACACAAGCTTAATAGCGCGAGCAGATATATAGTATAGTAGCGTTATAGTAGCGAACTGGTCAGCGGAACTAACACACTATTACCCCATTTGACGGTGAAGCGTATGCACGGGGGGCGGGGTCGCTTTCTTGTAACGTAAAGAAAGCTAGCTGTGGTTGGCACAGCTGTAAGCGGCAAGTCCCACATTCAGCGCGACGGCAGAGGTTACATGCGCCGTTGGCGAGAGCGAGCTCTACGTGTTCCAGTCCCAGGCAGAGAGCGCAGAAGAGATGGCGGCCTCCGGTGCTGAGAGGGGCGCGGCATGATCCTCAGGTGGTGCTAGAGGTCTTCACGGGTCCACTTGTATCCGAAAGCCCGAGGTCCAACATGAGACCCGAGCGGGTTCGGGTCCAAAATTCCGACGAATGTCTCGGACACGGGTCGGGTTCGGTATTTGTGGCCTCGGGTCTTTGGTGGTTTTCCAAATGGACCCGAGAAGACCCGAATTATTTTAAACTATGTTAAGCATTTAACAAAATTGCAGTATTTAAAACAACTCTATGACACCGTTCTCTGACTTTTTTTAAGTGAGAGAACCAATCCGCACTTTTACGTGCAATGGGCTATAAGCATAGAAAGGTTGTTTCTGAATTTATTTACTCAGTTGCTCGCTCCACATAAACCAACCCCTCCGTTTGCCTAGAAGAACAAGTGCACTATCATGTGGATGGTTGTTTGACTACATGCAAGTATTTGAATAGTCAAGCCAGGCCTGTCAATCAATTTTAAAATACGCGACACTGTCAGACAAGCATTGAGGCGATAACAGACATTGCGAAAAAGGTGAGGGAGAATTTGATCTGTTGAAAATCTGTTATAGGCTACATTTAAAAAAAAGCCATCGGTAAATTTTACCCTGTGGTGGTTTCTAATCATAGGGTTCTAATATTATGGTCCGGTAAATAACATTATGCCAAATTTTATAGGACGTAATGGATTACAGTGATGTGTGATTGACATTTTAGCACTATGTGCGCTTACACTTGTATTCAACAAGTGTAAACGTATTGTATTCAAGTGCATTTTTGAGAAACGCAGGGCTGCAGGCTGTGCACAATGTAAATGCCGTTTACGTTCGGGTCTAGTCGGGTTCTAGGAAATGGCTTCAGGTCGGGTCGGACTCGGGTCTAATTTTATCGGGTTTGTCTCGGGTCAGGTTTTTCTTTAAAAAAATGTATTTATGCACATTGGGTTCGGGTAAGAAGTGATTCGGGTCGATTCGGGTCAGGTACAGTTTTTAGGACACAAGAAGACCTCTAGTGTGAGGCATCTTTAAAAGACATTCGCTTGCTCTTTTGTGAAGTTCACTTGGAACTTATGCTAAAAAGGATACGTCAACCGGATGGCGTAGCTCGCAGGATGGCTGAAGGTAGCGAAGATGGCCGGCTATTTCCACGCTTGCTAGATGCCCCTCAACGGCGACGTGGCTTCTGCAGTTCATGCGAAGAGCTTCGCTGAAGAGATGAAAATCAGGGATGCAGCCTATGAACCGCACTTATATACACTCTGGCCACGCCCATTCTGGCGGGCTATGATGCAATGACGGCGCGAGTGCCTCTCATTGGACGTGAGTTCACTCGAGTTCGTCTATAGGCTGCAGCAGTTTGCCGCAGAGCAACCAATGAGCTCGCTAGAAAGCCCGCTCAAGGTCTGCAGCTGCTGCACTGCGTTGTCAATGAATGACAGAGCTGGTGTTCTAAAGCAAAACACACACTGGAATGAATAATTCACTGAAAACACTATGTGAGTGACTATTCTCTCTACCATATGTGATGTAAGCAGCTTGGTTTTCTTTACATTGGCGCTACTTTTGACTGATTGAATGAATTTGCTTACTGGATGATTGAACTGAAAACTTTCCCGGATTTTAAGTCTTAAAGGGATAGTTCACACAAAAATGAAAATGATCCCATGATTTACTCACCCCTCAAGCCACCCTAGGTATATGACTATCTTCTTTCGGATGAACACATTATATTTATATTATAGTTATAATATAAATATAGTTATATAAATTAATATCATTGCTCTTCCAAGCTTTATAGTTGTTGTGAGTGGCGGTCCTGATTTTGAAGTAAAAAAAATGCATCCATCCATCATAAAAGTAACCCATATGGTTCCAGGGTTTTAAGAAAGGCCTTCTGAAGCAAAGCTATGGATTTTTGTAAGAAAAACATCCATATTTAAAACTTTATAAACTAAATAACTAGCTTCACGCTTCCGGCCTACGCAAGTCGACTTGCACCAAAAGAGTAACCCCTGTCTTGATGTAGTAGCATAAGCTTTGATGTCTCTCGCGCTTCAAAACAAATAGGGCTGGACAACAAACTCAAGCTCCTCTTTTCTTATATCGGTTTTAGACCAGTGTTGTTCTATCCTCTGCACTTCCACGTTCGTCAATACATACAGGTCAGGGGTTACTCTTTCTTCATGAATCGATGTGTACCGTCGTCTGTCGGAAGCTATTATTATTATTTTAGTTCATATTTATTATTTTAGTTTATATTATTTAAGTTTTAAATGTAGATATTTTTCTTACACAAATGCATAGCTTCACTTCAGAAGGCCTTCATTAACCCCAAAGAGTCATGTGGAGTACTGGATGGATGCACGTTTTGGGGCTTCAAAATATCAACCCCCATTCACTGCCATTATAAAGCTTGGAAGAGCCAGGACATTTTTGGTAAACCTGCACGCTATTAATCATTAGCTAAGTAATAATAACTAATAACTAAAATAATAATTGCACACTATTAATCATTAGCTAAGCATTAATATACAGTTAATTCTTCATTTCTAAAGCATTAATTACCAATCAATCAAAGTTTTATTAAAGACATGCATTGGTCCAACCACAAACAGGTACAAAACATAAAGTAACATACAAAAAATAAATAAATAAAATAAAATAAAAAATGAAAATAGACATAATAATGCATAATAATAAGCAGTTTATAAATACAGCTATAAATGTTTTATTCTTGATTTATAAGCATATCTATAATGTGATTAATAATTTGTCAGTTTATAATTTCTAAATGAAGTATTGCTTTATTTACAAACCATTTATTTAGGAGTTGTTAGTGGTTTATAAGATCACTTAGAAAGTTTAAGTAAATGAATAATAAACTATTTAAATGTACATTCATACATCTTAAATATTTCTATATTCTGAATCACTGTTTTTTTGTTTAGAATATAAACGAGCCTTTAAATTTCTTTTGTAAATGCTTTATGTGGCATTAGTCCTCAATAAATAGAGCTCACAAAAAAGTTAACTTACCACTACTACATGCTTTATAACTACCTGAATGAACCATGAATTACAGTAGAAATACAGGTTAATAAAGCTTTCATTTAACAAACTAAGTAACTATTACTATATGTCTGAATAATAAGATGAATTTGTCACAGTCTGTCTTGTCTCCGTCTCTTTACTATACACTACCCAGCATCCCAGCTCTTGTCTTCACACCTGCTTGTCATCATCGTTATCTGTGTTTAGTCATGGTCATCATCTGCGCCACCTGTTTCTGTTAATTAGTATGTGTATTTAGTTCCTGTTTGCCTTTAGTTCAGTGTCCGTTCTTATGTGTATCACATGAGTGTCTGCCTGTCTGAACCTTGTGCATTGTTTATTGTAAGTAAAAGTTGTCATGGAATTTTGGACTTTTCGTCTTCCATTGCCTACACAACCCGTGACAGCATTAATGTACATTTAAACAGTTTATTAATCATTTACTTACACTTTCTAAGTGATCTTATGAGACACTGACAACTCCTAATAAATCCTAATAATAAACTCCTTTATTAATCATTAATAAAGTTTGAAAATACATTTATTAAAAACATTATAGATATGCTTATAAATGAAGAATAAATTATTTGTAGCTGTATTTATAAACTCATTAATGTCTGTTAATGCTTTATAAATTATGAATTAACTGTTACCTTAATAGCGTGCAGTTATTATAAAGTGTTACCCATTTTTGAATTTTACTCCGACTGTATTCGTCTGAAAGAAGAAAGTAATTTACAGAAAATCAAAATCAGGTTGAATGGTTAGAACAGAAGTTTCCGTCTACCAGAGTTACAGGTGCTTGAGCTATTGTATGCGCAGTGTGATAAACTCCTGATTTTTAAGATTTAACTTCAGTAAATTTTTTTTAAATAATCGCATGTCACACGTTAACGTTAACGCTAACACACGTTAACGTTAACGCTCTAATTATATATATATATATATATACTGTATATATATATATTCTTAATCAGTTACTGTATCCAATCATTTTATCTGAGAAGCAAGACATAGACATCAAAACCTTTATAGACATTAAAACCTATTTTTGTCAAAAGATTTTGTCGTTACATTGGCATTTTTTTTCATGTTCAAGCTAAAAAAATTGTTTACTTTTTTAATTATTTTTTATCTTTTCTTATATCAAGAAATAAATAATAATTTGGAATTGTATTATTAATAGATCATACTGCATATAACAGTGAATTTAAGACACTGAATTTAGTATACCTTAGCAACCATACACTATATCCAAGCACTGTGGTGTCAACTTTTGTATGGGTAGCCTCAACTTGCATGATTTCAGAAATGTACAAAAGAAAGAAACTAGCATTGCTCTTTTGCTTTTTGTTGGATACAAAACCAATACATGTGTTACTTGTTTTTGATCTATTTGCTCTGTCTCTTAGCCTAAGCAATTGTTCTGGAACAGTGACTGCACTAAACGCTGTCAGTGCATTGGACGGAATCTGATTCAGTGTGACCCAAGGCGATGTAAATCAGAAGAGGAATGCGTTCTACGTCATGGTGTGCGAGGATGCTTTGCCCGACGTAACCAGCTCTGTGTGGCATCAGGGGGTGGCGTCTTCCGCACTTTCGATGGTGCCTCTCTTCGTTTACCTGCCTCATGTTCCTTTGTTCTTTCAACTATCTGTCACAAGCTGCCCGAGTTATCTTTTCAGCTCATTGCCAATTTCGACAAGTGGAGTACACCCAACCTAACCACCATCTCCCATGCTTACCTCTACATCAACGAGGAGAACATTCTCATCTCGGGAAACACGGTCAAGGTAGGAACACAAAAAATGTACTGCACATGATGTACAGGATGGGACAGGAAATCACTCAGGTGAAGTGGTCTACTATTTCCTAGGAGAATTTAACCCTCTACAGCATAACGTTGCCCTCAGGCAACAGAAAGTTTTCTTAAGCCCTATGTTCAGTAAATTTTTCTTTAAATGATTGCAACCAATTAGAAAGTTTGAAAAAGTATCAAAGAACAGTCCAATAAGGTTTGGGAGTCACCATCAAGCACCATTTGAAGGTGGGAAGTCCTTTTCTGGCACATGGTCACAGGAGCACATGTTGTTGAGTTGAAAGCAAGATTATGTGCTTTAGTGATCTTCTTTAAAATGACATTAACTGTATATAAAAAATGTGTGTGTCTGTATGAAGGTGTAGAAAAGCCTTCTGGCAGGTTTTAGTTTTTCTTTTTGTTGCCTCAAGGCAACGTTGTGCGATAAGGGGTACTTTTCACGGAGGTTTTGAACAATACTTTACAATGGCAAATAATGCGTTACACAAAGGAAAGATGCAGGGTTCCTGGGTACAAAGGAACACCCAAAGTCACCAAAGTGACACTGTTCCCACAAAGTTGGGGGCATGACATTGTCCAAAATGTCTTGGTATGCTGAAGCATTAGGAGTTGCTTTCACTGGAGCTAAGGGGCTAAACTCAACCCCTGAAAAAACAACCCCACACCATAGTCCCCCCTCCACAAAACTTTACACTTGTCTCAATGCAGTCAGGCAAGAACCGTTCTCCTGGCAACCGCCAAACCCAGACTCGTCCATGAGATCGCCAGATAGAGACGCGTGATTTATCACTCAGAGAACCCGTCTCCACTGCTCTAGAGTCCAGTGGTGGCGTGCTTTATACCACTGCACCCAACGGTTTGCATTGCACTTGTTGATGTAAGGCTTGGATGCAGGTGCTCGGCCATGGAAACCCATTCCATGATGCTTGCTACGCACTGGTGTTCAGCTAATCTGAAGGCCACATGAAGTTTGGAGGTCTGTTAGTAGCTATTGACACTGGAGAAAGTTGGCGACTTCTGTGCATCTCAGCATGCGCTGACCCCGCTCTGGGTTGCTATTGTTCCCAAAGTGCTACCACTTTGTTATAATACCACTAACAGTGACCGTGGAACATTTAGTAGTGAGGAAATTTCATAGGTAGCAACCTACCACAGTACCATGCTGAATTACAAAGTGACCCATTCTTTCACAGATGTTTGTTGAATCGTCTGCATGCCTACAGTAGCTGCTTTATTTTACAGAACTGTGGCCATTGAAGTGATTGGAACATCTGAATTCAATGATTTGAAGGGGTGTCCCAAAACTTTTGGCAATACAGTTTATATGGGGATGATTAGGATACATAAAGTACATGATGCATGGCGACGCACTACATGATACAAACCTATGTCTCTATCAAATCAAATAGATTGATGAGTTTCAAGTGTTTTTCCCTTTTTACTTAAATTATTTCTTGACATTTTTGGAGAAAAAAAATGGATTTTTGTATTGCTCTCTGAGAGTTGTATAATGACCATTTTCTCTGTGATTCTTTACCATTGTTGCACAACGTTGCCCTCGGGCAACAAAAAAATATTTTGGGGTGGGGGGGGGTCAGGGGAGGGAAATTTTTCAATAAATCAATAAAATGTTCCTAAATGAGCCAAGAAATTTGTTCCATGTGCCATCAAAATGCATGCAGTAGAGGGTTAAAGAAAAATAAACAGGTATTTTCAAATGATACTTTAGAACAGAGCTCCAACCCTAATAAAACAAACCTGAACAAGCTTATCAAGGTCTTTAGGATTACTAAAAAAGGTATCCATCTTATTGTCAACGTAAGAGCCGGCGCAGCCATTTTAAATGGAATGTGTCTGGCTTCTGGTCTCATCCGCTTCCAGTTATTTTAACTGTACAAAACGGTACATTTTTTTTATAAGAGTATTTCTTACTATAATATTTCATGTATTGTCATAAATATAATCTCTGTAGCATTAATTATTTTACAGTTTAGTGCACTTTGTTATTCTCCTTGTGATTTACCTATAGCCACTGAGTCTTGCACATTCACTAAAAAAAGTTGTGTCCAAGCTAAATGCTGAGTGTTTTTCTCTTTTAACTCAGGTAAATGGTACGCCCGTGTCCGTACCTTTTGTCACAGGTCTAATGACACGAGTATCCACATCAGAAGGATTCCTGGTGATTGACACTCCTCAGGACATCCAAGTGCGTTATAACCGATTCAACACCCTCAGCATCATGATGGGCCCACGGCTGCAGAACAAGGTGTGTGGACTGTGTGGGAACTTTAATGGGGATCCTAATGATGATTACATCACCTCTCGTGGAAAACCTGCCGTCAGCTCACTGGAGCTCGCTCAGAGCTGGAAAACCAACGGCATGCAGAACAGGTTTGCAAGAAAAAGTTGTGCGGTTATATTTATTTACCAACTAATTATTGATAAATTTCATCTTGTCCTCTTTTCGTTGCCACTCATTTTCTATCCTTTATTGCTTGACTCTTGCCTATAGTTGTGATGAGACACAGTATGTGGCCCTGGCACAGTCCTGTGATAATACAGCAGTGGCAGAGCTGCAGGGGGAGAACAACTGTCTGAAACTCACAGATTTGAAAGGTTTCTTCCAGCCCTGCCACGGCCTGCTGGACCCTCACCCCTTCTACCAGTCCTGCTACATGGACGGCTGCTACAACCACCGCAAGGCCCAGGTGTGCGGCTCTATGGCAGCCTACGCTGAGGCCTGCCGCTCTTTCGGCACACTTACCACCAAATGGATTGCCCTGGAAAACTGCTGTAAGGGGACGCTGCCACCTACAGGATAAGAAGTAGAAGTGTAGGAAGTGAAAGACATCAAGGCTTTATTCAGGATGATTGGGACATTTTTTTGACTTGAAAAAAGTGTCCAAATCAACCGGAATTCACTGGAATTGTCATTTTTAGTATTTTATTTGGATCTGAAAAGAACATTTTCATTGAACATTTGCACACACTCAAAAAAATGTTTTTTAATTAGCACTTTTAGCTGGAAATTTTACAACTATAGTGTAACACTCAATTGACACATTTTTTTTTTGTTTGTTTGATGCTTACAAGTTTGTTTGATGCTTACAAGACTATCAGAAAAAAAAACTTTATGAATTAGCAGGTGAATATATGGATTTGTTAATGAACTTTACTCTCCGTGTGTGTGTGTGTGTGTGTGTGCGTGTGTGTGTGTGTGTGTGTTTCTGTGTGCTAACTTTGTAACTGGACCTGTCTTTAGCAGAATGGATCTATGACCCCTGTTCAGGAGAGATCTGCTCTAACAACACATGCGAGCAGGAGAATGGAGGAGATCTTTGTGGCTGCCCTGAGCTCCCTAGCACTGAAATTAGTGAGTAAAAGTAATCGATAAAAACCCATTTGTTAATTATTACACATTTAAACCCTACGTATTAAACCCAGGCCCATAAACTATCGTACACAAGTTACCATTTATATTATAGTAGTGGGCTAACTGCTAAATTAAAAGGTCACATTATGAATTGTCATGAAATATTGAGGAAACATTTAAAAGAAAAAACAGAACATCTTGTTCTTGTGATGTACTGTAGGTGAGGATGACATTATCCAGGCAGAGGTCACCTGTAAACATGCTCAGATGGAGGTCTCAATCTCTAAGTGCCGTCTGTTCCAGTTGGGCTTTGAGAGGGAGGATGTACGAATTAACGACCATCACTGCGCTGGTATCGAGGGAGAGGATTTCATCTCTTTCCATATCAACAATACCAAGGGACATTGTGGCTCTATTGTACAGGTGAACAAATCTCTCATTAACTACTGTTCAAGAGCAGTCTCAGTAGACAGTCTCAGTTGTTCCTCTTGCAAGAGAAGAGAAAGTACTGGTCCTGTTAAAGAAAATGTACTGTTCCATTAACATCCAACTATGCAGCAAGGTAGTTATAGTTTGTGCAAAAAAGCTTCGGACTACAATTGAGATCATTTAATGTAGATCCTGTGCTATCTTGTGATGAGTTCAATGATTAGTTTCCATCCAATATGATATAATCTAGTTTTTCAGTGCTGAAAAGTATAATAAGAAATACAGTATAGTTCCATGTGATTGAAGTGCATTATTTAACAATGCTGCATGTTGTTATGCTTATTTAAGAATTAAAGCAGTTTATAATATTATAATTTATAATGCTATTTGTGTTGTGCGCAAGAGATTGCTTACAATATGAAGTGTGTCTCAAAAACAATTTAAGCCTGAGTACTGTGCCTGAGATAAAAAATCGATATAAAAGTGCTATATAGAAGGCAAGTTAGCTTTTGGTTTTGATACCGCCATAGAGCTCTAAAAGTATATATCTTTTTGGGAGTTCAACGCTCACAAATTATATTTTTATTTAAACCATCCATGTAATTGAAATCTCAATGAGTTAAAGTTATACTTATGCTTTGATAAATATCACAGATTAAGAAAAAATGGTCCTCAGTGGTCCAATTTTACTAAATGTACTAAATGTGTAATAGTTTAGTTCCTAAATTATTCAGGTTGGTACAAAATAAACCATGATTAATCTTTACAAATATGTTTTGCTCATTCTCGCTATTAATATTTGTGTTTGTTTGTGTTCAAGATAAACACAAGTTCTTTTCATTTTGGTTTTGCTTTCATTGTATGCTGGATAAATATTAGGGCTGGGCAACGATTAATCGCATCCAAAATAAAAGTTTGTGCTTACATAATATATGTGTGTGTGCGATGTATAATTATTTTGTATATAAAAATTCACACACATGCATGTATATATTTAAGAAAAAATGTGTTATTCATATATAAAATATTAATATTTAATATAAATTATTTATAAATATGTATACAGTATATACATGCAAATATTTCTTGAATATATACATGCATGTGTGTGTATTGATGTATACAAAATAATTATACACCGTACACACAAATATATTATTTAAACACAAACTCTTATTTTCGATGCGATTAATTGCTGCTCACCCCTAATAAATATATATCGTCTGCTTGGTTGAATATGTTATTTTCTGTGAAAAGCTAATTAAATTCACCATAACTGTGTGTGTGTGTGTGTGTGTGTGTGTATTTGTATCTGTGAGTCCAGTCAAATGGAACACACATTATGTACAAGAACACGGTGTGGATCGAGAGTGTGAACAACACAGGGAATGTAGTAACACGTGATAAGACGATCAATGTGGAGTTTTCTTGTGCCTATGAACTGGACATCAAGATATCTCTGGAGACAGTACTGAAGCCAATGCTCAGGTCAGCTGTCAGACAACATGCACCCCTCACAAAAACTACCAATTACCTTGTATAATACCACTGTGTATTCTTTGAAGTACCTCAGAGGACCAAATACTGTAAATACCAGAAAGTATGCATATTAATCACACCGTAGTTTATTTAACATTATCATTTTATCTCTTTAGCTAGGTACATCACATTTTACAAAACATTTACTATAATTAATAACAAATACAGTAAATAGCATAATCTCATAGTACATGCACTTGGATGCTCCAGAGATGGGACAAATGATAAAGATAATAACTCTCCCACTTTTTTTTCTGCTGTTCACAGTGTAATAAACCTCACACTGCCTACCCAAGAGGGCAACTTCATCACAAAAATGGCCCTGTATAAGAACGCCTCATACCGAAATCCGTACCGCGAGGGAGAGGTTGTGCTGAGCACCAGGGATGTTCTGTTTGTGGGGGTGTTTGTGGAAGGAGCAGACGATAAACAGCTTATTCTCATTGTTAACATGTGCTGGGCTACACCATCTCGTTACAGCAGTGATCGCCTTCGTTACATTATAATAGAGAGAGGGTAAGTAAATAGCTTATGAAAATAATCATACACAAACTATGCTTAGCACTGAGCATAGGTCAAAACATATTTAACATAGAGTTTAAGACAAAATAAACACAGCACAAAAGTTCAGCAGGGGACTACACACCCTAAAACATACAAACGGGTATACGGCCCTCACATCATATACTGTAACTGTAATTCCAGGTGCCCTAACATCAAGGATAACACTATAGGCATGGCTGAGAATGGCGTGTCCCTCACCTGCCGATTCCACGTCACCGTCTTTAAGTTTATTGGTGATTATGATGAGGTGCATTTGCACTGTGACGTGTCTCTGTGTGACTCAGAGACAAACACCTGCAAAGTGGTGAGAGCTTGTACACACACACACACATACAGGCATTTTTGGTGCATTTTTTGTTGTCTTGCCATTTACAACAATAGAGACAATGGTAAAGGGGGTTGGTACATGATGTGCCATTGAACAACAGCTTAAACTGACAAATGCAAACATGATGTAAAACATCACTAAAAATGATTAAGTGATGTTTTACATGTTGTTTATCTTTTGAGAACTACTTTTTGGGGGGGATTTATAATAACTTTCTTGCTTTTACAGAATTGCCCTCATAACAAGAGAAGTTATACAGATTACAGTCAGCATAAAGAACAGATCCTGTCAGTGGGACCAATCAGAAGAAGGGGTATGGAATATATTTCAGAGTTGCACATGAATGCATGTCCAGAGTGAGGAATATGTGTGTAATTTAATATGTGTGTCAATTGTGAAGGCAAAATAACATTTGGGTGTAATATGTGCTCATTAGCAAGGTGATTATAGCTATGAATGTGTGTGTGGTTCAGGTATACCCTATGTTTTGGGGGCAAAATGTCCTGACATTGATTGGAATATCCAAAATCCTTTTCCTTGAGTCCTTGTGGGGACATTTTTTTTGTTCACCAGGATTAAAACAGCTTAGAAATCATACTAAGTGATGTTTTTTTTTTTGTTTTGTTTTTTTATAAAAATGCAAAAAGTTTTCTGTGATTGGTTGGTTTAAGGTTTGGGGATATAATATACCGGTTTGTACAGTATAAAAATGTCTGTGAAATGTCCCTATAAAACATGAAAACCTAACATATGCATGTGTTTCAGATTCAGACTGGTGTGAAGAGAATAATGGTGGCTGTGAGCAGATCTGCACTAGTCAAGTAACAGGCGCAGTGTGCAGCTGTGTGACAGGAATGCTGCAAAGAGATGGGAAGAGCTGCCGAGGTGAAATGCGAACACACACACACACACATTTACGTGTACTGTAGCTACTGTTTTTAAAAATAAATTAATAGGTGGAGGTTGTCCAGTGACTTTTGGATTATTGCAGAAAAGCAGCTCTGTGACCAACAAAAGTTTATGATTTTTGTACATTCTGTTCATCATAATAATCTTTTAAAATACATTTTGAAGCCTTAACAATATAACCAGAACCATAGAACCAGCTAAACATAAGATAGAAACAAACTACACTACGGTCGCAGGACTTCAATGTCACAACCATTAAACTTCAGACTTATCCAGTCTTTATTTAAAAAGATTTTCCATGAAAGTTTGAGTTAGAATAGTTTGCAAGATTGTGATTATGAACACAACAAGGCTATGAAGGTGGAGGCTCACTAGAGTAGATAAGTTAGAATGAGTTAAATGCCCCAGACAACCTCTGTAGTCCCACTTGTTAGGAACCGCCTAAATGTTGCCCATAAGCAAAAAAAAGTATATATAACATGTCCCTAACAAGTGTAACGAAAGGGTATTATAGATGTTCACAGTAGCATATCTGGAAAGTACCATCCCAAACACATTTTCATCGGAGTAGCCTGCTAATAACATCTGTAAAGTAACAGGCCACCCAGATCCAACACAAGAGTAGTTTTAGTAATAGTGAAAAATTGTCTGAGCAAGTTACATGATAAATTTAATGAACCAATGAGCACAGTATAAAACGCAACCTTGATTGGCATACCTCTACCTAATTTTTTTTTCCCAACCAGAACAAACCTTGCATAAATCTAAAATAACCAAGGTACAGCCTTCTCAGTTCTTAAGTAGCCATGCCCCTACAAGATATGCTTAGGAGAACAATTTATGCCCCCTACAAAAATATGGCCAACTACTGAATGATCAGAGCCCCTCCCCCAGAAATCACTGGCTGTATCTGAAATCGCCCTCATTTACCATTCCCTTCCTACATTACTCAGTTAATATACTGTACTTCCACTAAATCAATGAATGAAAACAAGTGAGACAAATCGGAAGCTATCTTCTGGCGAGAAGGTGAATTCAATTTCGTACAACGATCACAGTGCATGGACTTACTCTAGTAGCTAACTGTTCAGTGTACATCGGTTATACACTGATTATTAAGGTACACCGTAGGATGGAATTAATGCACTTTAAGTGTACAGACCTTAGTAATGTTAGACATATTTAATTTAATGCAGATGAAAACAGGGCTGTTAGGGATAAATGTACATTACAGTCTTTAAAATGGCACACTGCATAAAGGTCCTAGATCTCGTCATTTTTACAACTCATGACTCTCAAACTGTTTTGTCATTTGACATTTATGTCTCCTGAAAGTTATTGTTTTCAAAAAGACATTGCATTAGCTGAAAAATCAAATTTTTATTGAACAACAGTACAATCTATTGAACACACTCAAAATGAAAGGATTAGTTCACTTCAAAATGAAAATTCTGTCATTTACTCACCATCAAGTCGTTTCAAACGTGTATGAATTTCATTCTTCTGTTGAACGCAAAATAAGATCAAATAAGCAGAATGTCCGTAACCAAACAGTTGATGTACCCGGTAAAAAAAAATAGAATAAGGTGTAAAGGGGGTGGTTGTAACTTATAGTAGTAGACAACGTAAGGGATGTGCTTCCCTAAGGATGTGCTTTGTAGTTGTGCCGGACATTGTAAACTATTTGAGCCTCCATTCTCATGAACCTCTCATCTCTCTTTCTGCCTTAACAGTCACCAGTATGAGTACTGACCGTCAACCCCTGCTTCTTCTGACAGCTGCTGTTGTAAGCATTAACATCTTACTGCAAACACACACCTCAATTTTCTTCTCTTAACACCCACCAAACAAGACCAAGGGAGAGAGAGGCGTATACAGACAAAAGGGAGAAGCAAAACAGCCAGTGAGGGGTTATGCATGTGATGCATCAGCAACCCTGCGGTGAAGACCACCTCTGAGCAGTTCCCTTCATCGAAGTGAAAACTGTGATCAAATACAACCAAGTGATCCTTCATCAGCTGGATATCTCAGACATAAAACAACGTGCCTCGGTCCAACATAAATACATGACACCCTTCAGACCCTGAAAGAATCCAACTCTTTTCTTTGGCACAACATCTAACCCCAGAAACCAAAAAAAAAGGAAACTGTCACTTTGAAACGTAGTGATAGAGAGACAGCTACTGAATATTTCACAGCCACTAATGACAGATTAGCAAGTATTACTTATTAGATGAGAATCACTGAAGAGTGAGAGCACATATTGCAAGAATGGATGATAATTCTCAACACGTTATGATGTTTGTTTGTTTTTTATTTAGTTGATTTGATGAAATGCATATCCTCTCCTGCTCTTAATTCTCAATATGCCATTTTGTTTGGTATTTAAACCCCTTTTTGCCATATTGAAGTAATGCTGAGATCAAAATGCCAATCAACATTTGCATTGCTTTGTATTTGATTCCTTTGGATAAATGAGTGAATGGCGTTTGGTACCAAAACACAAATGTTCTTGAGTAGCCAACTTTTAAAGCATCATTTATTTAAGCTGTATATAGTAGGCCATATTTGATGGATGTGAACACTTTTGTCCTGTACAATAAATACTCAATGTACTGTATGAATCACTGACATAAAGTGAATTTAAGAGTCATCTACTCCATTTGCAATTTAGTCTGACAATATCAACTATACTTGACTTGAATTGAAGATGATGGTGGTGGTGGTGGTGGTGGTGGTGGTGATGATATTAAAGAAAGATTCAATGGTTGTTTCTAATCACTTCACCACAGCTGAAATATACTGCATTTCCTGTAGGTTTTGTACAGCCATAACACCATGGCAACTTATGTAGTCAGCTGTAGTCACTTACTGTATGTAGTCAAGTGACCAAACCCTTTGATGTCCATACTTACTGTAACAATGTTTTCTTATTCTATGGGTTGTGTGTTTGTTTTTAATCTGATATGATTTATTTGAGAATAAAGTGAGCAATTCACATTGATTCTGCTTCTATTCATAGTGCATTAGTCATGGCTTCTGCAGCAAGCCAAAGATAGAGAGCGCGCGAGAGAGAGCGATCCGGGTTGCTATGGCGACCGCTTGGGAGGCGGTTCCTTAAATCCAGACTTGAGCAAAGCACATATTGGATCAGGACCTATGATCAGGACCCTGTGCTGGTATGCTGTCACTCCAACCAACTGATCCGAGAGCGTAACGACGAGCCCGTTTCGTTTGATCTCTTACTGGATCTTAAAGTAACGTTAGCGTGTGTTTTTAGGAAAATACAGGGATATTTTTCTGGTCTCTCGGGAGGATGAACTGGAATTCCACTGGTAAGGATCTTAAGGGTTGTGCGGGGAGGCTCTAGCGCAGGATTAAACATGTGACATAACTTACCCACATCAGCTAAGCTTACTATTAGCAACACTGATGATTATATATCTTTAATGCAATTTAATTAAACCACCAGCCGTTTTCAAAGGCAGATTTGCATAGTTAGCGTTAATGAGTGGGCAGTAAGGCAGTGTTTATAGTAACTGCTGTATCCTACAGTAACAGTCTCTGTTTGACTGACAGATTGCGTCCACTGCTTTAATAGGTAGCAGTGCATTACTTAATTACTCTGACTTTAGCCAATGTGCATTCCTCCATTCCCCACGAGTCAGTTATCTCCTGTAATTTACATCACTACAAACACTCTTCGTCGTCGTCATCGGTCATTATCGGCATCATCATGTACTTCTCGACCATCTACGGACTCGCTGAAACTGTACGTCATTGACTTTTTTTGCACATTTTTTTAGTCAGACTTTTTACATGATGAAATGCAAGAACATATAAGGCTACAATATAATATAAAATATGCATATCAAACAATATTAAAGACAAGTAGGGGAGACCAGGGACAGTTGTAACACTTTTTGCAATTTTTAGCAATACATCAAAAACCATTTATACTGGAATATCCAATTTGTTATATTATAAACTTCAATCAGTCTACTGCTGAAACAATGTATTAAAGTGGTTTTATGAAATATGTATAGTTTGCAAAATTAATTTCAATATAGTATCTCCACTGTTACAACCGTCCCAGTGTACAGGGACGGTTGTAACATATGTCAGGGACGGTTTGTAATACCGACCAGGGATAACAGTTTGTAATAAAATAAGAACAAATAATCAAACTACAAGCAATAACACAAATGTACACAATAGATGTAAATTAAAGGGATGATTGATTGCGATTTCACTTTTTTCATTTTAAAGTCCCCGTGAAATCAAAATTACTAGTCACCCGCATATTACTAGTCTTGCGATGAACAATTAATCCGTGCAAGTAAATATATATATATATATATATATATATATATATATATATTATATATATATATATATTTACTTGCACGGATTAATTGTTATATATATAGCTATATATACGTATATTTAAATAGGCACGGATTAATTTATATATATATATATATATATATATGTTTATAAAACATTTTTTACCATGGTAATCTTTAATGAAAATCTGAAAAGTTACTTCTAAAGTTAATCTGATGATGTAGGTTTGACGGCTTGGGTTGGGAAACGCTTAACCACTCCCCTCAAACCGTTAGTCTGCTCACAGTCCCGCCCAAAGCCCAAAACCCGAGAGAGCGTTGGTGCCAGAAGTACATTTCCCATTCACTTCTCCCATTTAAATTTTGTAAAATCCATATCTAAAGAGTATTAGATCATGTCTGAGGATAACCAGCTATGGCTGAACTCATAAGCATACAACATATCATTTCGAGTGAAAAAACTAAGAGAAAATCCCAAAAAAGAGTACAAGCCTGTGTACATATTTTCATTTCTGAGCAAAGGAAAATCCTCCCAAACCTCCCATAAACCACCGCGCCTCACTAAAATTGGCTGAAGCCACCGTGAAAGATCCTTTTGTGTGACTTCCAAATCTGACGACGGCCAGGTGAACTTTTTCCTCCAGTGAATTTTATATCGTGAATGTGCAGGGAAACTAGCCTGGTTCAACCAGACTCTAGTTCATTTCATTTCCACATAGAGTCTGGAACCGCTCCATTGAGAAACGTTTCCTTCCTTGTAGGCGGGTTCACTATTAAAGTTCAAATCTATTGGATCTGCCCAAAGTCACTCACGATCTGCCATAGCCAATCGCTAACGGGGTGTCGTGAGTGACGTACGTCACGCGCCGAAATGGCTGGAAACAACAAGTCCGAATGATCAGAGGATTATGTTTACAGTAGGATTTCAGTCAACGAGCGCCGCAGGTTTTGTTAATCTAGGAACAATTATTAATTCGAAATGCATATTTGACACGAAGGACAGTGATATATTCATTCAACGGTGGAAGCTGTGTCTAATCATTACAAATACGCCACTGTGGTCGTTTTCTGATCTGCCGCAAATGCTGTAGCAGCTACAGTGAATGATCAGTCTTGTCTCCATCTGCAGATGTAATAAACAACAATTTTTCATATTTAATATTTAAGGTAATTAAGGTATTTAAGATACCTTAATTATGGTCTTCAAAGTATGTGTTTGTACATTTTTATGTGGCATTTAGTTTTTTTTAGTAAAACAAATCAACCATTGCCATCTAAAACTGAAAATCAAATATCTTCAAAGTATGGTTTTTCACATTTTTATTTATGACAATTATTTTTAAAAAATCACAACCAATTTGTATGATTTACAACATGTAAAACTGACACACCAACCTCCTGCACGAGTGCACAAAGGGGCTCAAAATGTTCTATTCATCACAAGAATCAGTAAATATACAGTTGGGAATATGAGCGACTGACATGACTCCTGAGCGGATCTTCAACCATAGTTTAGCAGCCAGGACTCGGGGCTTCCGAACAAAAAATTGATTTCTGGAAACCTAAGGATATAGAGCGATCCCAGACGTAGTTACTGAAGTAAAATAAAATTGAGCGGAAGTGCGTAGGAGGGCGCAGCCAGGCTACAGGGAAACTCCTTTTCCTAGATTTACTGAAGCTTATAAACGCATTTGCAGCTGCACATGCTAAAACATTGAGCATCTGGCTCCCACATAGGCTGTGCTGCGGCAACTGTACATCCAATGGCGCGGGGGCGTCTCGAGGTGCAACTAATGAACTTAGGCCTACGTCATTACACGATCTTCAGTCTTCACGTACCTTCGCGGGGTTTCAGACTTACACCAATCAGATGCATCACTGTGGGATTGTAGGATTGTTCAGGATTGTGGGTAATGAAGTACTTATCCAATACATCGCAAATAAAAGGCATTTATCTTAAAACAAGGTTAGTGCGCCTTTAACTTTTGGCATTTATATGAGCATATACAATCACTTAGTACAGCCGTAGCTGGTTTTAAGTCTACCATGTATGGTTACGTTTTAATGGCTTATATCCCAATTGTCAATGGAGAAATTGTATTGAATTTTTACTTTCTAGCACCGGCTGTGGGCGGGACTTTGATGCTCTATGAGCGAGAGATGGAAAGGAGGAGCACTAGAGTAAAACCCTGCCTTCTGTTCAATATTCCGTTTCACTTGGAAATACGTCACAGCACTGGAGAAAAGTTGTTTGCAACTTCCGTTTCACTGGGACTTTAAATAGTGTGTAATGTTGTCGTTGGTGCATAATTAGTACAGTATCTGCAAAGTTGCAGTGCTGAAAGTTCAATGTAAGCAGAGATATCGTCTTTTAAAAATCAGAAAGTTTAATGCCTACAAAAACAACTTGAATGGGACTACAACGGGTTTTATACGTAACTAACCCATACATTTACATCAACCCTCCCTCCAGAATATGCAAAAAAGGGCATGGCCATATTTCTGTGGCGCATAGAAAGTGTGTTATTTTCAGTCAGCTGTCAGGTCTTCTGCGTTCGGGCTTCCCACGGACGTTGTAGTTCGTCAACAATGGATACAATTTATTTTTGATTATGTTCCTGAAAATTACACAATCGTAATTTAGCTCTCTGTGCTGCGCATTTTACGAAAGACAGCTTCCAGTATCTCCACGAATTCAATGGCGGATTCAACAAGAAACTGTTATTAAAACATGAAGCAGTTCCAACTTTAAAACCAGAGGCAGCAGTTGTTGGGCCACAACCTGTAAGTAAGACTTAATCATTTTAAATGTATTTGCATGTATAATTTCATATGTAGTGTTTTAGTTTTATCAAAAGCCAGTGCTGGCTTTATAGCCACTTATGCTATTTTGTGTCTACGACAAACGCGTACAAACATTTTGGACCTGAATTTGTATATGTACTAATTTTGTAAGTAATTTTGTATGTATTTTTCATATATATACTTTATGACGTAATTTTCCGATTTGATCAAGAACGTAAACCAATGCCAACGCTGTAGCCAGCTAGGTCGATGCTATTTTGTGTAAGACAAATATGTATAAAGTTCAAAAAATTATAGGCTATGTAATCGCAGTAAACTTCAGCTGTTATCTTTACTGGTACTTTATCAAAGTACAGGGTGGTTTTAACACAGTTGCCACATGTAGGCTATAAATAAAACAATACACTGAGTAAACTAAGTTTTGTGAATAGATAAACGGTGGTTCATTATATCGATTAAACAAGAAACTTAAAAAACATCTATTCAGTTATATTAAATGTTTAACCAGGAGAAAACCGTATCTCAAAAGCTAACAAGCAGCAGTAGCATTTTTAAGTCACAACATATCGAAATTCTTATAATAATAGAAGAATAGAATATAATAATAATAATCATTTAAAAAAAAAATGTACCATTCAAAAACGTTTTGTAAGAGCCATGTTTGGGGAGGTTCTGCTTGACTCTCTTCATCGCCGCTTTCTGGGTCTGATTCTGGCTCAAACTGATACGTTATCGACACCATTATTTACATTGACTGGAGCACATGAAACATTCACCCGTAAAGGTAATGGGCCTGAAGTTTCTGGACAACATGCACTATGCAGTTTAGCCAATAACAACACACCGGCCCAAACTAACCAATCTCAGCCCATTGCCTGTTTCTGAGGGAGTGGTTTCATAGAATAAGGATGTAAACCAGTCGTTCAAATGACAAGGAGAAAGCGCCTTACAATAAAGGTGAAATTTATGAAAAATAAGAATACATGTTATATTGCACCCCATAAACACAATCATGCAAAGAAAAAAAGCAGAAAACCACCCCTTTAAATAAACAGTGCTTTTCAGGTAAATTTAACATGACAGATTAGGTACAAAAATGAAATAAAAATAACTATTTTGTTTGATTAACAATAAAAAATAGTTTATATTAAGACATACTGCACATCACTTTGTAGGCCAACTGGCAGTTATCATCACACTGGTTCTCTCAACAAAAAGGGTTAGGGTTAGGCTTTTTTTTCCATAGGCTTTTGGATTATCCCAAAAACAACAAGCTCTGTGATCAAAAAAAAAGTTACTTACACTTTTTGTCCTCACCCAAAAATGAAAATTCTGTCAGTATTTACTCACCCTCATGTTGTTCTAAACCTCTATGTGTTTATTTGTTCTGCTGAACACAAAGGAAGATATTTGGAAGAATGTTTTAATCAAACAGATCTCAATCCCCATTGACTACCATAGTATGTATTTTTCCTACTATGGTAGTCAATGGGGATTGAGATCTGTTTGATTAAAACATTCTTCCAAATATCTTCCTTTGTGTTCAGCAGAACAAATAAACACATTGGGGTTTGAAACAACATGAGGGTGAGTAAATACTGACAGAATTTTTGGGTGAACTAACCCTTTAATTCTCACAAATGAACACAGTTTTTATGAATTTTGAAGACTATACAGACTCCCAAGTAAAAAATATAAAGCTAAACTATAAACTTGTGGTGATGGCGCAGTGGATAAGACACATGCCTTTGGTGTGAGAGACCTGGGTTCGAATTCACTGTGAGACACCAATGTGTTGCTGAGCAAGGCACTTAACCCCTAGTTGCTCCAGAGGCGTGAGACTTCTGACATATAGAAATTGTAAGTCGTTTTGGATAAAAGTGGTAGCTAAATGAATAATTTTAATTTTTAAAAGAACTACCAAAGTCCCATGACTTCAACATCGCCTTCACCAAGCTTCTGACAACTCTTTTAGTTTTTTATCTAAAACAAATTTCCCATAAAGTTTGAGTTACAATAGTTTACAAGAGCACAAATTTAACTAACTATTGTAAATCAAACTTTATGCCTAAGCTTAATGAGGTTGTAAAACGGACTTACCTGTTCGCCATTATGACGTTTAATGTCCCTGACAGCCTCTGTAGTCCCAGGTGTTATTTCATAGTTCGTAAGATTTGAAAGCAATATAATTTTGCCGTACACAATTTTCATACATAAAATATAAAATAAATGACTTGAAAAGACTGCTCAGTGACATCCACTTAATCATTTTTGCTTTTTCGGGAGACGTAACTTGGAGATGAAACTCCATTTTCTGAATGTTGGAGGTTGTGGAAGTCTTTGAAAGGGTCGTCTGCATTTCTCTTTTTGTCCAACCAAAATCCAAAACTATAATGTTTTTGAATTATAACATTCAACCTCAACCTTTTGAGTCTCAGTGTACATTACCTGCTAGTAACTCTACTCTTGTTGAAAGCTGTCCTACACAACTGATACTGAAAGATGAGACAAGTCATGTTTATCATGTTGTCTTTGTGTTTGCATGAGCAAGACGTAAAAAGAAGTTCCCCTAAATTTCCACATTTTACAGCCTAATATAGATTATTTGCTGAAGCTGAAAGTTTTGTACACAATCTCAGATATAAAAAGCAGTAGTCTGATTAGGCTTAGTCTTCTTTAGCTTTGTTTCTAGCAGACTGTGTTTGTCTTTGTGACAGTTTGGCTCTCTCCACCTTGGAGTTGATTTCTCTTCACATCTTGATCATGTCTCCAGTCTACTCGCCCCCCAAATACACCAATGGATCCACCCTCATAAGCCCATACAGTTCCTATGACCCCTGCGATCCCACCCTGGGATATATTGTCCGAGGTCAACCCCAGCTTTCCAGGTATGCTCCTTCCACCTCCCGCTACCTGAACCCCAACCCTTGCCTCGCCCGAGGCGTCCCGTTCTTTGCTCAGGAGCCTGAACGTGGGAAAGCCGTACCCCATTCTGAGTCCCACATTGGCCGCCGGAGTGAAAGCTACAGTAGGATGCAGGTTAAAGGTCCGATTCCTAGAATTAATTGGCAAAGGGGCCGTTCGCCTTCTAGGACTGGACATATCTGCACATCTCCCCTATCAAGGCAACGCAGGTCGGTCAGTCAGTCAGACCTGATGCGGGAGCTCGCCACTCTGGAGATCTGTGACCAAGGAGCAGTGTACACAGTCAAAGAGAGCACGATTAGGGGACGGACAGATTACTCAGGGCCTCTCTACTGGAGATCAGAGGTGAGTCTGATTATTTTGTACACTGACAATACACATTTAAATACAGGGTTCAACTGACATAAGTTAAGCTCAATTGACAGCATTTGTGGCATAATGTTGACTACCACAAAAAATCCTTTTGACTTGCTTGGCAGCCTGTCCAGACTTGCATGGATAAAAAAAGACAAATTTAATGATGTCTCTATAAACTATAATTATTACCAGTACTCAAAGTGGGCCAGTAAGCACCAGTACTTCTATATTTGAAACTCTAGTGTGCCATTTCCCACATGTTGCTTTGTCACTCAGAGTCAAGGTTGGGGGTTGTATTTGAGCCTTTTTTAATTTTTATTTAAAAGCAGAAATATGAACGCTAAGCATTCGGTTGAGCTTAAATTGAATTGGTATTCTTTTGAACATATTTATTGTCAGTACATTACTATCATCTCTGTTCATAAGTGCTACGATATTGATTTAATTCTAGACCACATTTAGCATATAAAGTATGAGCTTGTAGGCTGACACTCTCACACCTTCACTTCACACACTCGTGTAAGCACACTTGAGAATAAATTAGATTGATGAACACCACACTGCCCTAAGTCTATCCCATGTGGTCTGTGTAATAGTACATAGATGTAAGCACACACATAGGCTATACAGATTATTCATTATGAGTATACGCTTCAGCCACGTTTTATCACTCTAGTTGAGATAAAATTGATATTGCATTTAAATAAATATATGCTACAATAGGCATTATATTACAGTGATGCATCATGACTGAAAACAAAGACGTTTAGTCCGACAAAGTGAAGCACAGCTCTAATTACTAACACCAGGATTAGTCCTGTAATTCTCTGATTTACTCTCTAGAGTGCGCTGTTTTTCTCTTTTTATGAAAGGTGTAGAATTAGTGCTATATTTAGTGGGCAACAGCAATATGAATCTTGGATATGGAAATCCATAAATATGATACAAGCCACAAACAACTCTACACATGTTGTACATAAATGTGAAAGATCAAATGGAAAGTACATGAATGATTGGCTTAATTATTTATTTTTTTTTATTAAAAAAAGTAAGAGACACTTAGGCCTGGTTTCACAGACACGGTATAGACTAACCCAGAATTAGGCCTTAGTTCAGTTGGGCCATTTAAGAACCTTTTTGTAAACATGCATAGAAAAATACATTGTGCATTTTGAGACAAAACAATGGCACTGACATATTTTAAGATACGTCAATGCACGTTGCTTTTAGTTAAAACAGCTCAAACATGTAATTAGTCTGGGTAGTAAGTAGTCTTGTAAAAAAGTAAAAACAAATAATAATAATAATAATAGTATGTTTAGTTTTTGCTAAAACATTTCCTGTTGTTAAAACTGCTGTATTTGCAGTTATGCTTTTGACCCATGATTCATTTACACTGCAACTGAAAGTGTTCTATAAATGTATTAATATTCAGCTCGTCACTTGATTTCAACATGGCAGCCACCATGAGTGGCAATCTCACATTCATGTAAAATAACTTTTTTGAACTTCAGGAGTCTTCATTTCATGTGTGAAAGTATATCATTTTACATAATCTGCCAAAAGCACTATTTTCGTTTACTTTAAAGTCAATTCTAATTTTTATACATTTTTATTTGTCATCATGGCCATACAACAAATTGATCCTTGATCAGATCTAATAGACTGATCAGATCTAATAGACTGAACTTCTTTATAAACTGGTTCTGAGGTTACAACTGAATATGAGATTGACATTGTGCCACAATGATTGCTCTCATAGTGGGCCAGAGGTGCTGAATATAATTATATAACAGGGGGCCACAGTGCTGAATATAATTACGTGTTCAGAGTAGCAAACCTTTATATCAGCACAATTTCATGTTGTTAGCTTGGACTTTGTCATTTTCAGGCCTATAGCGTATTGTCAGCCAAATCAGGGTGTTACATAAAAAATGTGCAGTTCCAGGTGCAGTTCTGCTGAACTCTGACTTTAGCTTATTTTCGTTCGCATTCTCCTCTGGGCGTAACATAACTAGATGCTTTGAAACTTAATCTCACACCCCCTTTTTTTATACACATTTTTAAAACATCAATAGATTTCACCATGCCAGAAACTAAGTTTTTGTTTTTGTTTCTCTTCTTCATTCCATTCCCATGGTCTTGTGGTATTGGGAGAGGCTGTTAAAGAGATTGAATGATGTCTTTATGACCTGTCTAAATCCTCATGTGTTGACACTAAAGTTTTGTTGCCTGCCATGTGTGTTTAGGTTACATAAGTATCTGCAATCAGGTTCAGTGTTATTGTAAGGATAAGCAGAGCGCTGAAGTACTTGTACAGAGAGATACTGCTCATAATCTTATGAAATTAGTTTATTATTAAGCTGTATTATTTTGCATTATCTTAATAGAGTCTTTATTTCATAATGGGTTTTTGCTTACTCAGCAGCATATTGCAGATTTCACTATGGGAATGAACCCAAAATGTAAAAAAGTAGAAACTATCCTTTTTGGTAAAGGGCCAATCCACCAACAGCTTTGCTTATTTTTATTTTTTTTTTTAATTATTTTCCAAAATGTTTCAAAAACTCACCTTGTTACACCTTGTGCATTCACGATAACAATAACTAAGACTATTAAAGGGATAGTTCACTTTGAAATACATTTTTGATAGGGCTGGGTATTGAGACAAATTTCACAATTCAATTTGATTTCGATTCACAAGCTTGCAATTCGATTTCGATTACGATTCGATTACGATCGATTATTTTGGATATCAGTTACAATAAATGCCAATTTTTCTCAATGGAATCAAATCTCTTAACTAATGCTGTAAACTATGGGAGTCTAGTTAGGCTTCATTAGCCTAATATGAAGGTAATAATGAATGGATCACTTTTTCATTACACTTTTATTTATTTTTATAATAAGAAGATTATATGAAATATAAACATTTAAATGGTGGCTGTCATAAAAACTTGCCAGATTTATTCAAATATGCATTAAATATTGAAGAACATTAAGGTTATAATGCATATAATATGGTGTATATATTTAGCAAAATGCTCCTCTCTGGAGTTATTTTTTCTAGCTGACTAACGAGTTTATGTGGGTTTTCTGAGGTAAATATGACGATACATGACATTGATTAAGCAGTTTAACTGACGTCTTTCCACGGTTGAAACGCTGATTGAGCGAATCAATGTGACATGATACGGATTTCGTTAAGTTGTACTCTATCTTTTAACACACTTTCAGATGCTCATTCATGTTTATTTTGCGCTGTATTATTAACCCGGAAGAGAGATCAGCGCTGCTGCTTCTCTTGAGCTTTGCCAGAGCGATCTCACGCCACAGCGCCAAAACGCTATTTATGTTTTTGAATTTCTAAAGAAAATGGACGTGATTTGAAAATTGAGACTTTGTTTCATATCAATAGTAACAAAGGACAAAGATTATTGTGATTTTTTGGATGCGCGCAGCCGCGATACAATGTCCCATTCATTCAAATGAAACAGGATGACTAATCAATTCTTGAGATTTAAGAATCGATATCGGTTCGTAAAAATGAGAATCGATTAATATCGAGAAATCGATATTTATTACCCAGCCCTAATTTTTGATTTGTTTTAGCTTACCTCAAGGGCATCCAAAATGTAGGTGTCTTTGTTTCCGCAGTAGTTTCAATTTTTATTTTTTTAGGTCAAACCATTCTTGTCTATCAATCAGAGCATGCACAGAGTCAATCTTGCTCATCCCGATAAATATCAAACATGTTTGATATGATCGGAGCGAGCCCGATTTGTGTGAAAGCAGATCGGGAGGTGCAAGATTCGATCTGTGAACGACTCACATTACCAGATAATCTGCTCCGAACATCGGAACCGATAGAGGTAATCAACAAGATTTTTTCTCTGATTCTCGTGAGGGGAAAATCGGGCATAAATTGGGCATAAATCGGCCTAAAACTCCTGTAGTGTGAGCCGGGCATTAGGGACATCCTCGTTTGTAAAAACAGCATACAAATAAAGTTAATACTGTTTTTTTTCTTTTCTTCTTTTTTTAAAGAGGTCCTTGATCATGATTTCACTTTTTTTTTTACTTTAGTTAGTAATGTTGCTGTTTGAGCACAATGAACAAAGTTCAATTCAAGATATATTTTCTTTTAAAATCACTTTTTAAAGACTACAACAAATGGCTGGTAGGGACTACAACAAACTTCTTCCTGGGTTCACAAACCCTAAAATGTATATAGACCTTATGTTGCCCCGCCCCTTTTTTAGCGCTGCACTCGTGGTCTTTTGACTTCCGGTCTGTATTTTCATAGCGGCGATCTTGCATAGGTATGAATGAACCGCTCGTAAAAAATTTCCCGGTCGACATTTGTTAAGACATCTGCTTAACAATGCTTATGATAAACATTACAATGCTCATGATAACTTTTGTTAACTCTAGAATAAGTAAACCCACTTCACCAGCTAATTACTCCTCGACAGAAATGCCATAGAAATAGACAGAGCGACCGCAAAAACGGAAGTTCAAAGACAATATTCTAAAGATGACAGCGCCCATGTTTCTCTGGTGCATTAGGTCTATAGACCCTGACCTCAGGAACACACTACACAAAGGGTGTGAGTCCATGTTGGGCTGCTGTTGTTGGGGTGAAGAAGAGGAAAAGTTGTTTTCGGTATTTTTTACACCCTGGAAAAAGTTTATCCTTAAGCTTACGACCTTAGAGCGGTTCAAATTTATTTTTGTATTTTTTTAAAGAACCTCAACAACCTCGTTTGTCTGTGCGTTGCAAATTTCACGGAGAACAGCTTTCAGAAGACAATGCTGGCTATATGCACAAAAGCTTCTCCTGAAAGATGTAGCCATTCCCATTTTGTTGAGACAATCTGTTGGTAAAGGATCATTGTGTTTTCTCTTAACAGTCCAATTATAAGCTTTATGTATTTTCAGCATATTTTATATTTTGGAAGGAGGGGTTTCATCAAAAATGGGGCGTT